TCATTGTATAATTGAAATCCAAGCACAAAAATTTGTAAGTCTACAACTGTACCTCATGGTGTTTCACTAATAAAAATTAAAAAAAAAAAAAGAGTCACTCCTGGCTCTGCACTCAGGAATTACTCCTGGAGGTATTCAGGGGACCCTATGGGATGCCGGGGATCGAACCTGGGTTGGCCACACCCTCCCCACTGTCCTATCCCTCCAGCACCTTCAAGGCCTTTTTCTCCACTAGGAACCTTGTAATGACTCAGTGGAACAGCCTCTGCCTCCCCTGCCTGAATCTCTGGACTTCATCCCCGCCCCACATAAAACAGAACAAAATCATGGCTCACGGAGATAACACAGCAGGTAAGATGCCACCCTGGAACACACGGAGTGTAACCAATTCGCCCCTACAGGAAACCTGGCCACATTCCATCATGCTGTTGAGAATTTTTTATTATATATACACATATGTGTATTTTTTTTCTTGAGGTTTTGGAGTTTTCTTTTGGTTTTGGGGCCACACGCGGAGGTGTTCAGGGATGACTCCTGGCTCTGTGCTCAGGGCATTATATGGGGTATTGGGGAATCCAACTGGGGTTGGCTGCCCTGGATTACTTATTAATAATACCGCTGGATTATTTCTCTGGCTCCTGTCTATATGTGTGTGTGTGTGTGTATTTAATATATATATTTGATGTTATAATTCTGAACAGGAAAAAAAATGTTGCTACTGAAAGACTTCTGAACAGTTCCTGGAAATGCCTTTGGCGTGAAATGTGTTGTGAAGTAGACTCCTCCCCTACAGTGCTCAGCAAGGTGCGTTTCTCAGGGGACACAGAGGGAGATATTGAGAGGCTCTGTTTGGCTTAATGTTTGGTGGTTTTTTTGGGGGGAGGGAGTTGACTTCTTTTGGGTTGTTACCTGGCAGTGCTTAAGGCTTACTCCTGGCTCTGCACTCAGGAATCACTCCTGATGGTGCTCAGAAAGCCCTATGTGATGCCGGGGTTTGAACCCAAGTTGGTCAAGTGCAAGGCAAACACCCTCTCTGCTGTATCATCACTTGGGCCCTTGGCTTAAGGTTTTGAAAAGGGTTTTTTTTTTTGAAGGAAGGTGGTATAGGGCACACCTGGCAATGCTCAGGGGTTGTTCCTGTCTCTGCACTCTGGAATTACTTATTTTTTTTTTAAATGTAAGAGTACTGCTATTTATTCAGCCACTGATTAGCTGATTGAATTGGGCATGAAATCCACCTTACTTTTTTTTTTCCCATAATTTTATTTATTTATTAATTTATTTTTCTTCTTATATTTATTTATTGAATCACTGTAGGAAAAGTTACTAAGCTTTCAGGTTTAAGTCTCAGTCATACAATGATCAAACATCTTTCCCTTCACCAGTACTCATTTTTCACCACCAAGAACCCCAGTATATCCCCCTCCCACCCCTCAAAATGCCTGTGAGGCAGATGATTTCTACTTAACTCTTTTCTACGTTGGTTACATTCATCATTTTGACAAAAGATGCACCATTGTTGTTTAGAATTTCCCTCCAACAATCAGAATTGCTGAAGAGGCATTGTGAAATACTTTGTTTTCTATAGTTGGTTATGAGAATCATATAATGTCACATGGCCACGATTTTGGATTTCTGCAAAGAGCCAGATAATTACGAGATTAGTTTCTGTGAGTCTGATGTTATTACTGTGCCGGAGAGCCTCTCGTGGGGGGCAACTTGTGACCTCGGTAGGGCATGAAGGACGAGTGGTACCGTCCCCCTTCCCACGAGACTGCAGTTGCCCCATCACCGCTGGCTCATACCTGGCTTTCCTATAAGCTCTGAGGCAGTAACCACCTTGCTGTGTGTGTGTGGGGAGGGGGGAGGCAGAAAGGAGCAACACCCTTTCCCTCCGGGGGAGGCATGGCACGGTAGTTTATTTTTATTTATTTAATTAATTAATTTTTTTTTTGCTTTTTGGGTCACACCTGGCGATGCACAGGGGTTACTCCTGGTTATGCACTCAGGAGTTATTCCTGGCGGTGCTCAGGGGACCATATGGGATACTGGGAATCGAACCCGGGTTGGCCGCATGCAAGGCAAACGCCCTACCCACTGTGCTATCTCTCCAGCCCCATGTCGCGGTAGGTTAACGCATGATCCATTCACTTTTCTGCCGCAAGCTGCCGGGCTCTGGACTAAGTCCTTTGGCCTCTGGAGCCATGGACATGCCAGAGAGCCGCTTGTGGGGACCACTCGTGACCTCGGTAGGGCGTGAAGGATGAGCCGGTACCATCCCCCTTGCACTCTGGAATTACTTTTAGCGGTGCTTGGGGGGAACCTATGGTGTGTCAGAGATCAAATAAAAGTTGTGTCTGGGGCTGGAGCGATAGCACAGCGGGTAGGGCGTTTGCCTTGCACGCGGCCGACCCGGGTTCGATTCCCAGCATCCCATATGGTCCCCTGAGCACCGCCAGGAGTAATTCCTGAGTGCATGAGCCAGGAGTAACCCCTCAGCATCGCCGGGTGTGACCCAAAAAGAAAAAAAAAATTGTGTCTGTGTGTGTGTATTAGCCACACCTGGCAGAGCTCAGGGCTTCCTCCTGGCTCTGTGCTCTCCTCCATTCCTTCTTCTTTTATGTATTCCCTCTTGAATGAAAATGGAATCGCTTCATCTCTGGTGAGCAGTGAGGTCTTCCCCTAGCACTGAGGGGCAGATAGTACTGTCAGTGCTTCAGGCCTTTGGCCTGTGTCTTTGTTTTGTTTTTTTTTGTGGAGGGGACACACCTGGCTCCTGGGCTTGGGAATCCAATGGGATACCGGGGTTTGAACCTGGGTTGGCCGCTTGCAAGGCAAGTGCCTTCCCCGCTAGACTATTTCTCCAGTGCCCCCTTGACCCGTTTCCTGTGACTGAGCTGTTAAAAATCCAGTCCCAGGGCTGGAGCGATAGCACAGTGGGTAGGGCACTTCCCTTGCATGTGGCTGACACGGGTTCGATTCCCAGCATCCCATATGGTCCCCTGAGCACAGCCGGGAGTAATTCCTGAGTGCAGAGCCAGGAGTAACCCCAGTGTATCGTCAAAAAGAAAAAAAAAATCCAGTTCCAGGAGCCTGAGAGATGATCCAATGGGGAGGGCACTGGCCTTACATGAGGCTGACCTGGGTTTGGTTCCTGCCATTCCATAGGGTCCCCTGGGCACTGTCAGGAGTGATCCCTGAGTACAGAGCCAGGAGTAACCCCTGAGCATGGCCAAATGTGACCCCAAAATAATAAAATAAAACTCAGTCCCAGGCACCGTCTTACCCTTTGGTGCCCAGTCTGGGCATTTTTCAGCTTGAAGGCAGGGACTTCTGGTCAGGCCAGTGTGTGTGTATGTGTGTGTGTGTGTGTGTGTGTGTGTGTGTGTGTGTGTGTGTGTTTTCAATTCATTTTAATGTCAAGTAACTTTATCTTTAGTTTTTGAAGGAATCTTTTTTTTTTTCTTTTTGGGTCACACCTGGTGATGCACAGGGGTTCCTCCTGGCTCTGCACTCAGGAATTACCCCTGGCGGTGCTCAGGGGACCATATGGGATGCTGGGAATCGAACCCGGGTTGACCCGGGTCGGCAGCGTGCAAGGCAAACGCCCTACCCGCTGTGCTATCACTCCAGCCCCTCCAGGTCTTCTTCTTAACAGGACTTTTTGCCCCTCATAGGAAATGAAAGCAGCTAAGAGAATGGTGAGACCCACAGTGACAGAAAATCCTGAGGTAAGAACAGGGTGTGGGATTCTGCAGTGACAAAGCCCTGTTCCTGGACATGCCCCTCATTTCAGTTAGGTCCCTCTTCAGAGTTTCTTTGTTTGGACAGGGCACACCTGTTGGTGCCCAGGTTTCACCTGACTGTGTTTGGGGATCTCACCTACCAGTTTTGGGGGACCTTATCCAATGCAGGACTTTTTTTTGGGAGGTGGCGCCTAACTGGTGATGCCAGGGCTGACTTCTGACTCTGCACTCAGGGATCACTCCTGGCAGTGCTTGGTGACCCTGTGGGGTGCCAGGGATCGAACCCAGGTCAGCCATGTACAAGGAAAGAGCCCTTCCCACTGTACTGTTTGCTCACGTTCCCTTCTAGTGATTTCTGGGGCCCATCAGCCAGGGTTCCTGTGGAGAGAAGGACATTGAGGCTGGTTCCTCCTGAGGGGAGAGGCCTTGAACCCTTCTAGGGCCTTGGGGGGTCCTTTCCTCACAGTCCCAGAAACAGGGTGGGCATGGGCCCTGAATACTGCCGTCCTGTGTGTCCTGACTCAGGACGCGCTGACCTTCCCCGACGTGGCTGTGAGCTTCACCCCAGAGGAGTGGACGTGTCTGGACACCTCCCAGAGGAAGCTCTACAGAGACGTGATGCTGGAGACCTACGAGCACTTGCGGGCTGTTGGTGAGAGCCACCGGGGCTGCCGCCGGACCTGGGATGAACCCACGTGGGCTCTAGGGGGCCCAGTCAGGGCTGCCTGTGAGCTTGGCAGACCAGGACAGGCACCTCTGTCTGTACTTGCCGACTGTCGTCCAGGATTTTGTGGGGAGGAGCACAGGCCTAACATGTAGGATTCCCAAGTTCGATTCCCAGCACTGCATGTTACCATGATTTCTGTTGGGAGTGACCCCAGATGCTCCACTGAGTCTCCTCAGAGCACCCATGGGTGTTATTTTCCCAAACACAACAAGTGTTATTTAGTCTTGTATTTACTTTCGGTTTTAGGGGTCACACCTGGCGGAGCTCAGGGCTGGCTCTTGGCTCTCTGCTCAGGGATCACTTCTGGCAGGGCTAAAGGGACCCCCTGGGATGCTGGGGTTGAACCCAAGTCATTCACGTGCAAGGCAAGCACCCGCCCCTCTAGCCCCCATCAGTGTGATTTTCTTTTCTTTTTTTTTTGTTTTTGTTTTGAGGTCACACTTGTAGTATTCTGGGCTTACTCTTTGGTTCTGTGCTCAGGGATCACTCCTGGTAGGCTCGGGACCCTGTGGGATACCAGGGATCGAACCCAGGTCAGCAAGGCTGGCACCCTCCCCGCTGTTCTATCTCCGGCCCCCCTCTATGTGATTTTAAACTTAAACAGTATTTGTCTGTCAATTGTACTGTGTTAGCAGGTTCTTCTCAATTTAAACCTTCTCTCATCTCTTGGCTGGAGCATGGAGACTTGAGGACCGGGGAGAGTGGAGGCGTTAAGGGTGAGTGTGGGACTGGGAGACACTTCAGAGGTCTGGAGCTCTGCAGGGTCCCCAGGGCTCTGCCGGGAGCAACCCAGAACAATTGAGCCTGGGTTCACTTTTGTGCATCTCTTGGCGTTGCCTGCAAACAGCGTACAGGTCAGTGGTTTTACAACAGTACTGGTTGATGCAGTGCTGAGGATCAAATCCTGGTCAGCGGGGATCGCATCCTGGGTGGCAGGGAATTCAATCTGGGTCAGCTGAGGATCAAATCTAGGTTGGCCAAGGATCAAATCCGGGTCAGCCATGTGCAAGGCAAGTGCTCTGGTTCTGATAGGTGATTTTGTTTAATTAATTTAATTTAATTTATTTAATTTAATTTATGCTGAGGTCTCTAAGCTTACTCAGATTGGGACTGGGCCTTCTCCACCCAGACCCCCATCTTCCAGTAGGTAGGCGTCACACCCACCAGCTGCTGCCGCCAGTGCCAGGTTGGTCCCATCAACAGCCAAGATGGAGAGACTATAAAACCCAGCTCCCGGAAGTGACATCTTATTATCTTATTTTTCCTTTGGAGAACCTGAGTCTGGCAAACTTCCCATGTCGTACTCAATATGCCAAATACCAGTAACAATGATGGGTCTCATTCTCCTAATCCTGAAAGAGCATTGAAATGGCTCTTTTAAAATCTCAGGGCTAGGAAGAAGGAGATGTTTCTGGCGCCTGCTTGAGGAAATCGACGAACAACAGGATGATCGTGATCTTGAATTTAATTTATTTATTAATTTTTAATTTTTAAAGCATTTAAATTTTTTTTTTATTTTAATGAATCATCATGAGATACATTTACAGACTTACAGACTTTTATGATTGCATTTCAATCAAACAATGTTCAAGTACCCACCCCACTGATGGGTGATTTTAGACCTATCACACTTATGATCATTATTATTATTATTATTTTGCTTTTGGGGTCACCCCCAGCAATGCTCAGGGTTTACTTCTGGCTCTGTACTCAGGAATTACTTCTGGTGTTGCGTGGGGGACCATATGGGATGCCAGGGATTGAATCAGAGTCGGCCGTGTGCAAGGCAAACGCCCTACCCTCTGTACTATTGCTCTGGGCTCTATGATCATTTTTTTCCCGTTTTTGGGTCACACCCGGTGATTCACAGGGGTTACTCCTGGCTTTGCACTCAGGAATTACTCCTGGTGGTGCTCGGGGGACCATATGGGATGCTGAGAATTGAACTCTGGTCAGCCTCATGCAAGGCAAATGCCCTACCTGCTATACTATCGTTCCAGCCCTCCTATGATCATTATTGATAAAGAATTGAGTACTATTATTATGGGTCTTTTTTTTTTTTGGTGGGTGCAGACAATACCTGGTGGAACTCAGGGGTTACTCCTGGATTTGCATTCAGGGATCATTTCTAGGTGGATCTTACAGACCATATGGGCTGCTGGGGATCAAACCTGGATTGGCCATGAGCAAGGCAAATGCCTCCCTGCTAAACTACCGCGCCTGCCCTCCTGTTTATATTTCTTTGAAAATAATAAAAATAGATATTGTGGGGGCTAGAGTGATAGTACAGCGGGTAGGGTGTTTGCTTGCACACAGCTGACCTGGGTTCGAGCCCCAGCATCCCATATGGTCTTCCAAGCACTGCCAGGGGTGATTTCTGAGTTCAGAGTGAGAAGTAACCCCTGAGCATTGCCGGGTGTGACCCAAAGAGCAAAAAAAAAAAAAAAAAAAAAATTGTGGATTTTTCATTTTTCCTTTCTCTTCCGGGCAATGCTTAGGAGTTACACGTGACTCTGCTCTCAGCAATCAAGGCTAAATCAAACCTGGCAAGTCCAAGGGACACTGTGGGATGCTAGAGATTGAATGTAGGTTGGCCACATGCAAGGCAAGCACCCTCCCCTCTGTAGTATCTCTGGTCTGTGGATCTTTTTTTTTTTTTTTTTTTTAGTTAATTCATCTACATTTCATCTGTTCATACTTGCAATACTTTTTTGTGTTTTCTTTTAGAATGGGAACCTCAACTTCAAGAATTGGCCTTTGGTCCATTTCAGTTTGGAAAGGCAGTATGCGGTCAGTTGGAAAAGGTAAGGTCATAGGTTTGGAAAGAGTCATTCCTGTTTCGGGGCTGGAGCAATAGCACAGTGGGTAGGGCGTTTTGCCTTGCACGTGGCCGACCCAGGTTCGATTCCCAGCATCCCACGTGGTCCCCCTGCCAGGAGCACTGCCAGGAGTGATTCCTGAGTACAAAGCCAGGAGTAACCCCTGAGCATTGCTGGGTGTGACCCAAAAAGCAAAAAAAAAAAAAAAGAGTCATTCCTGTTTCTTCACAATGACAATGTTGATATTTCCTTTAGCTAGACTATAGAGACCGAGAGAGATAATATATTCTCAAGACTGTGCCCTTACATGCGCCACCTCATTTCTGGTCCTTGGCACCACATATGATCCCCACCACGGAATCAGGAATGACCCCTCGGCACAGCTGGGTTCCCTCTGCCCCACCCCGTTCATCTCAGAATGGAATATTCCTTTAGCAAGGTTGGTTGGTTTGTGTGTTTTATCGCCACACCCGACAATACGCAGGGGCTACTCCTAGCTCTCCACTCAGGTATTACTCCTGGTGGTGCTCAGGGGACTATATGGGATGCTGGGGATCAAACCTGGGTTGGCGACATGCAAGGCAATAATCCTATATGCTTTCACGTGGCCGACCCAGGTTCGATTCCCAGCATCCCATATGGTCCCCTGAGCACCGCCATGGGTGATTCCTGAGTGCAGAGCCAGGAGTAACACCTGTGCATAACCGGCTGTGACCCAAAAAGCCAAAAAAAAAACGCCCCCCCAAAAAAGAATCCTATATGCTTTACTATCTCTCCGGCACCTGTAGCAAGGTATTTTTTTATATGGAGCTGGAAAGATCATACAGAGGGTTGAATGCTTGCCTTGCATGCAGTTGACCTAAATTTGATTCCTGGCATCCCATCACTCAGGAGTGATCCCTGAGTATAGGTACAGGAGTAACCCCTGAGTACTGCTGGATATGACCCCCCAAACAAGGTATTTTCTATATGAAAAAGACTTTTTCTCCTTGCATTTTATTCATCTGCATTTTGTTCTGTTCATGTTTGGAATGTATTTTGTGTCAGGAATCAAAACCAGGCTCTCAACCCGCTGCTACATCATTGAGCTATGTTCTGGCTCCAAAACTGGGGACACTTTATTTTTTTATTTATTTATTTGTTTAATTTTTATTAGTGAGACACCATGAGGTACAGTTGTAGACTTACAGATTTTTGTGCTTGGGTTTCAATTATACAATGATCAAATACCCATCCCTCCACCAGTGCCCATTTCCCACCACCACGGGTCCCAGTATCCCTCCCACCCCCCCATCCCTCCCATCCCACCCTGCCTCTGTGGCAGGGCATTCCCTTTTGTTCTCTGTCTCCTTTTGGGTGTTGTGGTTTGCAAAAGAGGCAATGGATGGCAGTCATGTTCGGTCTATAGTCTACTTTCAGCATGCTTCTCCCATCCTGGGAGGATCCTCCCAACACCCTTTATTTGGTGCTCCCTTCTCTATCTGAGCTCCCTTTTCCCCTAGCATATGTGGCTGGCCTCCAAGCCATGGAGTAAAATTCCTGGTACTAATCTCGGCCAAAAATTGGGGACACTTTAAATGAGCACATATATTGTGCTTCGGAATTCTCAGAGACTTATTTACAGATCCATGAAGGGGCATGGTTCTAAAGGGGGAAATTTTTTTTTTCCCTATTGGCCACACCGGGCAGTGCTCAGGAATTACTGCTGGTTGTGCTGGAGGAATTCTAGATGCCAGGGATCAAAACCAGGTTGGCCACGTGCCAGCAAGCACCCTAGTTGCTATACTATCACTCTGGCCCCTTAAAGATGACTCTTTTTTTTTTTTTATTAGTGAATCAACATGGGGTACGTTACAAACTTACAAACTTTCGTGTTTGCATTACAGTCATACGATGATCGTTTACCCATCCCCTCACCAGTGCCCATTCTCCCCCACCAATGTTCCTAGCATCCCTCCCACCCCCCACCCCATCCCCCTTTAGAGATAACTCTTAGCCTAGCTTCTGAGTCTTGACTTGCAAGGTAAATGCCCTATCCACTGTATTACATAACTTTGGCCCTGCTTCTGAGTCTTTAAAGCAGAGAGAGATGCACATCATTATGGTAGATGGAATTTATCACCCAGCATCAAAGCAGCCCACCAACTGGCCCCCTGGCGCCGTGTAATCCCATCAATGGCCAAGACTCAGAGACTCTAAAAACCAGTTCCCGGAAGAGAACAGTGCAGTCTCCTGCCCCTGCACCTGGCTCTCCTCACCGGGGCCCCTTGGAGGGGAGCGGGTTGAGCTTTCCTCCCCACCCTGACCAGGGCTCCGGCAACCGAAGACCTCCAGGACCAGCCACCATCATGCTGAGACTACTGTCTGCACACCTGAAGGTACTGGCAGAAGAACAAAGGCAAGCGGGACCCGGGGCTGAGATCTCCAAGCCTACTCGGATCGGAGCTGAGCATCCTCCATCCAGATCCTCCGAATTCCAGTAGGTGGGGGTCACACCCACCAACTGGCCCTCTGGCACCATGTAATCCCATCAATGGCCAAGACTCAGAGACTATAAAAACCAGCTCCTGGAACTGCGCGGCCGCACTTGCGGCCGCGCGACATCTTATTATAACATCTTATTATCTCATTCCTACTTTGGACAACCTGGCAGACTACCAAATGTAGCCTGCCCACACAGCAGAGTCTGGCAAACTCCCGGTGGCGGTGGCGTACCCAATATGCCAAATACCAGTAACAATGATGGGTCTCATTCTCCTATATAATATAAATGAATATAATCTCAGGGCTAGGATGAAGGAGACGTTACTGGGGCCTGCTCGAGGCAATCGACGAATAACAGGATGGTCGTGATTCGTGATTCGAGATCAAAGCAGCCCACGTCAGGAATTGGGCTGGCAATTGAAAAACTACTCTAGCCTTACCGTCCCGATAAAAATACTGAATGTCTGGAACAAACACCATGACCTCATAGCCCCTGTATGGCAAACCATAATGCACAAAAGGAAAAGGAGAGAAAGAACGAGAAGGAAAATCCCTCCCATAGAGGGGTGGGGTAGTGGGGGATGGTAGTAGGGAAACAGGGACATTGGTGGTGGGAAATATACAGTGGTGGAGGAATGGATGCTGGATCATTATATGACTGAAACGCAATTAAGAATAGCTTTGTCATGTTCTATCTCATTATCTCATTGTAACGTGGAGTTCATGCCCAGTGAAATCAGCTTAATGGTTGAATAAATAGCAGAACTCTTACATTAATTTTTTTTTTTTTTTTGCTTTTTGGGTCCCACCCGGCGATGCACAGGGGTTACTCCTGGCTCTGCAATCAGGAGTTACTCCTGGCGGTGCTCAGGGGACCCTATGGGATGCTGGGAATTGAACCCGGGTCGGCCGCGTGCAAGGCAAATGCCCTACCTGCTGTGCTATCTCTCCAGCCCCACATTAATAATTTTTAAAAAAAAATTTTAAAAATAAAAAGTTTAAAAAATTCAAAAAAAAGGGGCTGGAGAGATAGCACAGCGGGTAGGGCGTTTGCCTTGGACGCGGCCGACCCGGGTTCGATTCCCAGCATCCCATAGGGTCCCCTGAGCACCGCCAGGATTAACTCCTGAGTGCAGAGCCAGGAGTAACCCCTGTGCATCGCCAGGTGTGACCCAAAAAGAAAAAAAAATTCAAAAAAGGAATTGGGTTGGTATGATGTCAAGATTAGAATTCTCAGGGCTGGAGCAATAGTCCAGCAGGTAGGGCGCTTGCCTGGCACGTGGTGGCGCACGGTTCCATCCCATGAATCTGGTCCCCTGAGCACTGCCAGGAGTAGTCCCTGAGCACTGTTGTATGTACCCCTTCCCTCCAAAAATAAAAAAAGAGGGGCTGGAGCTATAACATGATGGGGTGGGTGTTTGCTTTGAGCGTGGCCGACCCAGGTTTTGATTCTGGGCATCCCCTAGTGTCCCCCAAATACGGCCAGGAATAATTCCTGAGTGCAGAGCCAGGAAGTAACCCCTGAGTACTGCCAGGTGTGTCCCCAAAACAAGCAAACAAAAGTTTAATTAAACAAAAACCAGAGAGGGGCTGGAGCGATAGCATAGCAGGTAGGGCATTTGCCTTACACGCAGCCAACACGGCCGACCCAGGTTCGATTCCCAGCATCCCATATTGTCCCCCGAGCACCGCCAGGAGTGATTCCTGAGTGCATGAGCCAGGAGGAACCCCTGAGCATCTCCAGGGGTGACCCAAAAAGAAAAAAAAAAGAGAAGGTAGAAGACAAACAGAAACAATAACAGGGACAGTGCCCAGGAGACAGAAGCCAGGGGGTCCTCCTGCCTCTTCCTTTTGTGCAGAGACATAACTTCTGGGTCATCTGCAGGGAGGATCCAAGTAAGAAGGTACTTGGGCTTGTCCCACCCATCTCTAATGCCCACCACTAGGGTCCCCCAGACAGAAGGGATGTGATAGGGTTTGCCAGTGTCTCTCTCTGGGACCCAGGTTGCAGCTGAGTTTTCCCCCCTAGTGATGGGGTTGAGGGTTTAGGGGTGCAAAGACTCTGAGAAAGAAGGGAGGAAAAGGAGGTGTTCTTACAGCTAGAGTGATAGTACAGCAGGGAGGGTGTTTGCCTGACATGCAGTAGATCGAGGTTCGATCCCTGGTATCCCATAATGGTCCCCTGAGCACCCCTAGGAATGATTCCTGAGTGCAGAGTCAGGAGTAACCCCTAAGCATTGCTGGGTGTGACCCTAAAAGCCAAAAAGGAAGAAAGAAAAAAATGGGAGTTCTGGTCATTTGCAATATGGCATCTGTGTCTGGGTGTTTTGGGGTTTCCTTGCCTGGTAAGATTCCCTCCCTATGCTAAGTGAAATGAGTCAGAGCAGGACTGACATAGACTGGCTGTGCTCATTTGTGGAATATAAAATAACAATATGAGGCTGACACCCAACGACAATTAGAGACAAGGGCCAGGATGATCACCCTGTGGTTTGGAAGTGCTGGGGGAGAAGGCAACTGGAGTAGGGACTACTAAGTCAGTGATGGTTGGAGGGATCGCTCAGAATGGGAGATGCGTGCTGAAAGTAGATCATGATCACGACCATCCTGTTACTCCTCGATTGCCTCGAGCCGGCCCCAGTAACGTCTCTTTCGTCCTAGCCCTGAGATTTTTAAAAAAGTGCCATATTCAAGGCTCTTTCAGAGTTAGGAGAATGAGACCCATCATTGTTAGTGGTATTTGGCATATTGGGTACACCACGGGGAGTTTGCCAGACTCTGCCGTGTGGGCAGGTTACATTCGGTAGCCTGCCAGTTTGTCCAAAGTAGGAATGAGATAATAAGATGTTGCATGGCCGCATTTGCGGCTGCGCGCTTCTGGGAGCTGGGTTTTATAGTCTCTGGGTCTTGGCCGTTGATAGGATTACATGGCACCAGGAGGCCAGTTGGTGGGTGTGACCCCTGCCTACTGGAATTTGGAGGATCTGGGTGGAGGATGCTCAGCCCCAATCCGGGTAGGCTTGGAGATCTCAGTCCCGGGACCCGCATGCCTTTGTTCCTCTGCCGGTACCTTCTTCACAGCTATACTCATTCTAATTACGGTCAATGCAGTAAACCAGTGTGATAGTCGGTGAATGGCTTGAGGTATGAGACTCCTTCCAACATGATTTTATCATGAAAGTATAACTGTGAATTATTATTCCGAGTAACACTCCTCTGTTCTTCTCTCAAACACTCTGCAGCAGAGACGGCTAACAATGCATGATCCTCTGAGCTCCAGTGGAAGCAAACATCAAGTCAGGACTAGCTGAAAGTAGACTAAGGACCAAATATGATGGCCTCTTGGCCTCTTAGTATCTGTATTGCAAACTATAATACCCATAAGTAGAGAAAGAGCAAGAAGGAAGCGCCTGCCACAGAGGCAGGGGGTGGGATGGTGTGGGGATGGCAGGAAGGATACTGGGGACATTTAGTGGTGGAAAATGCGCACTGGTGGAGGAATGGGTGTTCAATCATTGTATGACTGAAACTCAATCATGAAAGCTTTGTAACTTGTATCTCATGGCGATATTTTTATTTATTTATTTATTGGCATTTTGGGGTCACACCCGGCAATGCTCAGGGGTTACTCCTGACTTTACACTCAGGAATCACTCTTGGAAGTGCTTGGGGGACCATTTGGGACGCTGGGAATTGAACCCGGGTGGGCCGTGTGCAAGGCAAATGCCCTACCCACTGTGCTATTGCTCCAGCCCCACTCAGTGATACTTTACAAAAAAAGTAAATGGGAATTTTTTTTTTCTTTTTGGGTCACTCCTGGCGATGCACAGGGGTTACTTCTGGCTTTGCACTCAGGAATTACTCCTGGCGGTGCTCAGGGGACCATATGGGATGCTGGGAATCGAACCCAGGTCGGCTGTGTGCCAGGCAAACACCCTACCTGCTGTACTATTGCCCTAGACCAAAAAAAAATTTTTTTTAAAAAAAGATTCATTCCCTTGGGCTGGAGAGATAGCACAGTGGGTAGGGCATTTGCCTTGCACGCGGCCGACCCGGGTTCGATTCCCAGCATCCCATATGGTCCCCTGAGCACCGCCAAGAGTAACTCCTGAGTGCAGAGCCAGGAGGAACCCCTGTGCAACGCCAGGTATGACCCAAAAAGCAAAAAAATAAAAAAATAAAAATAGAAAAATAAAAAAGATTTATTTCCTAATTTTCAGGGTGTCATATGGTGTGCAGAGAACAAACAAAACCTTAAAAAGATTAGAAATCACCCCGTGTTCTTCTGCTATCTCTGTGTTGCAGGGGGTGGTACCAGTGTGTAGATAACCACAGTCATTCTCTGTTCTTCAGCAGGGAGGCAGGCAGCGTTGGTGGACCGTGCAGGACTGTGAACGGTGTGAGGAAGACGTCTTCCAGGAACATTCTGGACTTGGTGCCCCTGGGGATATTCAGACTGGAGAGATCTCGCCAGATGATAAGCCAAAAGAAAGCAGCTGTCTTTCACTGAAATTAGCTGTGGGGAAACCCGTCCAGCAATCTGGGGCCCTGCCACCCGCAAAACCGCCTCCCGGCAGGAACCCTCATGATGACAATACTCATGGCACCTTGGCCAATCACGGTCACAAGCGCGTGCAGGCAGGGGTGCGTCCCCTGCACTGTCAGGAAGGTGCCAGAGGCTTTCTGTGGACTAAGCACCCCGGGGGTCCCTCAAATGGAAAGCATCCCCATGAATGTCAGCAGTGCGGAAAAGCGTTCAGCCAGGCCTGGAGCCTGACGACGCACATGAGGATACACACGGGGGAGAGACCGTATGCGTGTAAAGAGTGCGGGAAGGCCTTCACGCAGTCCTCGGGCCTCAGCCAACACATGAAGATCCACACGGGGGAGAAGCCCTATACCTGCGACACGTGTGGCAAAGCCTACTCTTACCTCTCGGACCTGACGAAGCACTTTCGCATCCACACGGTGGAGAGGCCCTACGTGTGCGGGGCGTGCGGGAAGGCCTTCGCCCAGTTCTCGGGTCTCAGCCTCCACCGACGGATCCACACCGGGGAGAGGCCGTTCGTGTGCAAGGAGTGCGGGAAGGCGTTCACGCAGTCGTCCAACCTCACCACGCACATGCGCATCCACACGGGGGCCAAGCCCTACTCGTGTCGGGAGTGCGGGAAGGGCTTCACCCAGTCCTCGCATCTCATCATCCACATGAAGTACCACGCGGGCGAGAAACCGTTTCAGTGCGACAAGTGTCGGAAGGCCTTCATCCAGTCTTCGGGCCTGCGGAAACACATGCGCGTCCACACGGGCGAGAAGCCCTACGCGTGCAAGGAGTGCGGGAAGGCCTTCACGCAGTCTTCCGTCCTGACTCTCCATATGAAGATTCACACCGGGGAGAAACCCTACGCCTGTAAGAAATGCGGGAAGGCCTTCACGTATTCTTCGGTTCTCACGGTCCACATGAGGATCCACACGGGAGAGAAGCCCTACGCGTGTAAGGAGTGTGGGAAGGCCTTCACGCAATCTTCCGGCCTGACCGTCCATAAGAAAATTCACACTGGCAAGAAACCCTAGAAAGGGAACATTGTCCAGGGGTCCGCGAGCCATCGTACAAAGGGGTCGGCGCCTGCCTTGGTGACAGCTGGCCAACTTCCATCCCAGGCATCCCAGGTGATCTCCAAGCACCAACAAGAGTAATTCCTAAGTGCGGAGCCAGGAATGAGCCAGGTGTGTCCCCTTCCCCCCCACAAACCAAAAAAGAATAATAAATAAAATGTCCGAATGCCTGTTCTTCAATTCATTACTTTAGAATGAATTGACAGTGGCGATGACTTTGGAATGTTCCATGTGTATGAAGCCAAACGTTTTGAATACAAGGTGAGTCACATGGCGGAGGAATCCGATGGTTATTGGGGGCCGAAGACACTCTGTGGATGAATTCAGGCTTTGCATGGATGCTTGATCCCTGGAACCACATGGTACCCCAGTCAACTACCACATGCTACCCCAGGTGCTAACTACGTCCCCCACCTCCAGAAGATGGGATATGCATCACTCACTTCATGGTATGCTCCTACGTTTGTGACTCGAAGAGAAGAAAGGGGTGTCAGGTCCCTTCATTTCTGCGTCATGGAAAAAAACCATCCTCTAGAGAAGTTCTCAAAAGGAAAGTTGGAAAGATCCCAAGTGGAAGGCTTGGAAGGAGAACATTAGATCAAGGGTGTCCCCATAATCAGATCGGGAACTAGCAAGTTTGTTATGCCCCAGATGTGGATTCCAGACGTAGTGGGATATGAGGAAGCAATGAACATCCCTATTGTGTCCATGAAAAATTATCCTTCAGAGAGTCAGAAATCATGCAGGAGAGAGAACCCCCAGTTTGAGATAAGTGGGAAATGGTCATTCGGGTTGGCTGGGGACGAACCCCAGGGCACCAGCTGGGCACAATCCACACAGGGTTCAGGGTACTCTGGAGCCAGATTCAAAATTGGGATTCCTGCGTATTTAGCATGGACTTGCCTTCTGAACTCTCCTGTCCAGGGGCTGGGGCAATAGGACAGGGGGTAGGGTGTTTGTCTTGCACACAGATGACCCAGGGTTGGTCCCCGGCATCCCATAGTGTCCCCCCCTGCACCTCCAGGAGTAATTCCTGTGTGCAGAGCCAGTTGTAACCTCTGAGCATCATCAAGTGTGGTCCAAAAACAAACAAAAAAAGAATTGAGCTCTCTCCTGCCCAATGATATATATATATATTCACTGCAATTTTCTAGTGGGAGAAAACTAAGTCATATTTAGGCTGTAGAAGTAGTCCAATGGGCTAGAGAGTCTGAGTCTGATTCTAATTCAATCCTTGGTTCTGAGCATAGGACCTTGAGCACGGTCAGGAGTGATCCCTGAGCCAGGAGGAAGTGCTGAACACAAATGTTGTGGCCCCAACCCTCCCTTATCCCCAATGTATAGGCTTTTTTTTTTTCCTTTTTAGGTCACACCTGGCGATGCTCAAGGGTTACTCCTGGCTCTGCACTCAGAAATTACTCCTGGAGGTGCTCAGGGGACTACGTGGGATAACAGGGATCAAATCTGGCTTGGCCGTGTGCAAGGCAGATGACCTCCCCACTGTGCTATTGTTCCGGCCACGTTGATGTAAAGTTTCATCACAAATGTATACCCTTATTCCCACTTGGCACTTCTCTATTCATTATGTGACAATGTAAGAAACACATAACTTTTTCTTGGGAGGATAGGAAAATTAGTATTTGGGCCACATCCACAGATCCATGGGGGTTACTAATGGCTCTGTACTCAGGAATTACTCCTGGCAGTGCTCAGGGGGAACATATGGGATGCCAGGGATCGAACCCAGGTCAGCTGTGTGAAGGACAAACGTTCAACATCTTCCCCACTGTACTATTGCTGCCAAGAGTCAAATAACTTAAGTTCATGGGCGTTGGGTTCGTAAGGAAAATGTCCTGAGGAGTCAGATTTCCTAGTTAGTGTCCACTGGCAGGGAAGCTACTGGGGGTAAGAGTCTTTATTACGGTGTATGATTCGGAGATTGGGCTTTCCTTACTTTTGATGACAGCGGGATTACCAGTTGTCCATCCTATCATTTCCAGTCTTTCAGGGTTTCCTATTTACATGGTGTTATTTGGACTCAGGAAAACCTTGGGAGCCTGTATAAAGGAGGCTTCACCCCCTTTTCCTTCAATATTTTGCCACTTTTTCTGTCTCATATCTTCCGTGCCCTTTTTTTTTTAAATGTAGGAGTAAAAAGTAAAGGTAAGGTAAAGGCCCTCCCGTTGTTCGTCGATTTGCTCCAGCGGGCCCAGTAACGTCTCCATTGGAGACTTTGTTGTTACTGTGTTTGGCATATCGAATACGTCACGAGGAGCTTGCCAGGCTCTGCCGTGGGGGCGAGATACTCTCGGTAGCTTGCCGGGCTCTCCGAGAGGGACGGAGGAATCGAACTCGGGTCGGCCATGTTGGCTGCGTGCAAGGCAAATGCCCTACCGCTGTGCTATCGCTCCAACCCATTAAAATGTAGGAGTATTGCTATTTATTCAGCCACTGATTAGCTGATTGAATTGTGCATGTACTCCACCTATTTTTTTTCATTTTTTATAATTTTATTTATCGAATCACCGTGAGAGCAGTTACAAATCTTTTGGGTCTAAGTCTCGGTCATACAATGAAACACCCGTACCTTCACCAGTGCCCATTCTCCACCCCCAACAACCCAGTATACCCCATCCCACACCTTCCCCCTACCTGTGGGGCAGATGATTTCCACATTCTCTCTCTACTTTGATCACATTCAATATTTTGACACCAGACCCACCATTATTATTTGGGATTTTACCCCAACACTCAGATCTGCTGAAAAGGCAACAGTAGACAATTTGCTCTCTATTGCCAGTTATGAATAACATATGATGTTGCGTCTTCTGTGCCCTTTGAATTGTGACTCCTGAATGTGTTTGACTGTATCCTGCTTCTTGACTCCTGAAAGAGTCTCAGGATTCACTTCCCACATACAAAGGTACTTAATTTGTGGTTTGGTTTGGGCATCATTCCCAGCAATGGTCAGAAATTACTCCTGGCAGTTCACAGGGACCATATACGACGCGGGGGATCAAACTTGGTTCAGCCACGTGCAAGACAAACATTCTCCCCACTGTACTATTTTTCCAACTTCTTGATTTCTTCCCCTGCCTCCTTTTTGGGTTTTAGAACCACACCTGGTGATGGTGCTCAGGGCTCATTTTTTCTTTTTTTCTGGTTTTTTTTTTTTTTTTTTTTTTTTTTTTTTTGCTTTTTGGGTCACATCTGGCAGTGCTCAGGGCTTACTCCTGGCTCTGCACTCAGGAATCACTCCTGGCGGTGCTCGGGGGACCCTGTGGGATGCCGGGGATCGAACCCAGGTCGGCCGGGTGCAAGGCAAACACCATACTTATTCTACTATTGCTCTGACCCCTCAGGGCTTACTCTTGGCTCTACACTCAGGGATCACTCATGGTGGTGCTCAGGGGACCCTATGAGGTGCCTGGGATCAAACCCAGGTCAGCTGTGTGCAAAGCAGTTGCCCGATCTGCCGTACAATCCCTTGTCTTCACCACTCCTGAGTTTTTTTTCTAACCTGTGTTGAAAAAGACACCCGTGGATTTAGTTCCATGACCTGCTTTGTTCCCCCTTACCATGTTGGAATTCTGATTCATTTCCAACTTTTCCTTCGCTCTCTTCTGTCTCTGAGGAGCTGAACATAGTTATTTTGTTTTGGGGGCCACACCTGGTGATGCTCAGGGGTTACTCCTGGCAGTGCTTGGAGTGCTGTGAACCCAGGATGGCCACATGGAAGGCAAACACCCTCCTTGTTGTACCATAGCTTGGGGTCTGGTCCCACACCTGGAGTTTAGGGGACCACTCCTGTTGGTGCTCAGGGAAACTGTCAAAGGCTGATTCCAGGCCTCCTAGGAAAGCCCGGAGCTCAGTCCCCTGAATCATATCTCTTCCCATTTACATCCTAGGCTCTACACAGGGGTTCCTAAGCACAGAACCAGGAGTAATCCCCGAGCTCTGCCAGGTGTGACCCCCAAAGATGAAATGAAATAATCCTGGGATAGCAGGCAAGATCCTAGAATTCAAAAAAATGACAACGGGGTCAGCTGACCCAGGATCAATCTCCTGCACCTCATAGGATCATGTGAGCCCTATCAGGAGTGATCCCTGAGCACAGCCCACTGCCACCACTCATTGTGTCTGATCACAAATGAGCCAGTCCCGGGGGGAAAAAAAGGACAGTGCACCTTCCTAACCGGAGAAGGTAAAGCAGTGTGTGGGGTCTTTAAGCCAGCCCATTGGAAGCGGAAGTGACGTCATGGCTCCCAACTTGCGGGGGGCGGGACTATACTGCATCTGGGCACAGGTTTGGTTTTTTTGTTCTCAGTCTCCCATTTCTCTGCACGGGAGGAAGCAGGGAAGAAAGGGGACACTGAAGGGCTATTTGAGGGTTGCAGGTGGGGTTTCTCAGAGAGCAGGGAACCTCCAAGGTCTCCAGATGCTGAGTGTCGGGAAGGGGACAGCGAGGGACAGTTTCCTCCATGTGTTCGGGGTTCAAGTCTCCAAGGTGAGCTGGGTCATGTTCCTGCAGAGCAAAGATCTCTGCAGCGGCTGACAAGGGGCTGAGTGAGTCCCACGACTCTCCGGTCCTCTCTGACCTCCCATCCCCAGATGTTGGGATGAGGGTCCTGGAGTCATTGGACAGAGGCAAGGACGCTTGCCCTGCACAAGGCCAGCCTGGGTTCCTTCCCCGACACTGCAAGGGCCACCGAACTCAAAAAGGTGGCAGGGTACCGGTGGACAGAGCCCAAGTGTAGCATGAGTTAGACCTGAGTTAAATCCAGTTAAATCTTTCCTCTCTGCCATTGTTGCGTGTGACCCTGTAATCCTGAGCACCATCTAGTGTGGCTCCAACAAAATTCTAGTATTTCTTTCTTCTTTTTCTAATTTTTGCTTCTTTTGGGTCAGACCCAGCGATGCTCAAGGTTTACTCCTGGCTCTGCTTTCAGGAATTACTCCTGCTTGGGGGACCCTATGTAATGCTGAGGACTGAACCCAGGGTGGGCAGCTTGCAAAGCAAATGCCTTCCCCAGTATTTATTTTGTTGTGGGGTGGTACTCACAGTCCACATGTGACAGTGCTCCGGGGACCCTATGCATACTGGGTTTTGAACCAAGGTCCCTGCTACGTATTAGGGAAGCACTTTAAGCTTTGTATTTTCTCTCCAGCCTGCCAGTTTCACCTCTTGGTTTTATTAGGGAGAGCAGCCTCCAGCCGTCCCTAGGGGCCATTGGTTGTTGGGTTCTCAAAGCATTTACACCAGATCCTTTTTGGGTATTTTTTTGGGGGGCAACCACACCTGGTGGTGCTTAGGCATACTCCTAGCTTACTCCTGGCTCTGTGCTCGGGGATCACACCGGGTGGGTGTCCTATGGGGTGTTGAGTATCCAAACAGAGTCAACCCATGCAAGGCCAGTGCCCTACCTCTTATGTTGTCTCTCCGACTCCTCAACTTTATCTCTTAGGGACCAGAGTGATAGTGCAATGGGGAGGGCATTTGCCTTGCACCTGGTCGACTTATGTTCGATCTCCGGCATCCCATCTGGTCCCACAAGCACTTCTTGGAGTAATTCATGAGTGCAGAGCCAGGAGGAACCCCTGAGCATCACAGGATGTGATGCCAAAAGCCAATAAAAATAAAAAAAATACTGGGGCTGGAGCGATAGCACAGCAGGTAGGGCGTTTGCCTTGCACACAGCCAACCTGGGTTCGATCCCCGGCATCCCATATGGTCCCCCAAGCACTGCCAGCAGGAATTCCTGAGTTCAGAGCCAGGAATAATCCCTGAGCATCGCTGGGTGTGACCCAAAAAAGCAAAATAAAAAAAATACTATCCATTAAAGGTATGTGCTGATTGCTTTTCATCCTGTGACCACAGGTGTGTAAGTATTCCAGCCTTTTATTTTTATGGCCCCGCTTTATTTAAACACCGTGGTTTACAAAGTTCTTTATGATGGTTTGGGACTGGTATTCAATATTCCAACTCCACCCACCACTGTTACCTTCCATCCCCGCCCCCTCCCCCCGAAGACTGTCCCTGTAGCAGACTAGCAATAATTTATTTTCTATTGCATGTTACCACTAAATGGCTAGTGGAAGGATCAAAAAATATTTCCATACAAGAAAATTTGTGAAAATGGGCCGTAAAGAAAAATTGTCCCCATGGGGGACATGAAGTCCTTGTTCTGAGGGTTCACTTAGCCACTCTTGCGAGTTAAGCCTTCTGTGTGTGGGAATGTTTTTTTGTTCCTTGAGATTGGTTGGTTTCTATGTTGTCGTCTCACCCAGTCTGGCTGGGATGTCAGGGCTGTCGAGTTGAAGGTGTTACTTCAGAAAATCCAGAGTATTTAATTGCGTAGTCTGACCAGAGGCTTGGCTGTGGCCTTGACGAGTGGAAGTGTCTGCTCTCCACCCTTCTCCGAAATTGTCGCAGAGGTCTCGGCAGGGAATGGGCATCCAAGAAATTTTGGCGACTAGTTGATCTCTTTCAAGATTAATTTATGCAGACTGGAACGATAGTCCAATGAGTCGGGCATCTGACTTGCAAGCAGTCGTGGCTGACCCGGGTTTAATCCCTGGCATCCCATAGGTTCCCCTGAGCACCGCCATGAGTAATTCCTGAGTGCAGAGCCAGGAGGAATCCCTGGGCATTGCCAGGTGTAACCCAAAGAGAAAAAAAATTATTTATGAGTCTTTGGAACAAGGCCAGTAGATGAACTTTTGTGGCAGTGGTGGTGGGATGTGGAAGTTAACTTTTTGTTCTTTTTTTTTTTTTTTGCTTTTTGGCTCACACCCAGCAATGCTCAGGGGTTATTCCTGGCTCTGCACTCAGGAATTGTTCCTGGCGGTGCTTGGGGGACCATATGGAATGCCGGGGATTGAACCCAGGTTGGCCGCGTGCAAGGCAAATGCCCTACCCGCTGTGCTATCACTCCGGCCCCAACTTTTTGTTCTTAACTAGTATTTGGAACTTACAAATAATGGGCCAGGTGCTGGGAAGCGAGAGAAAGGGATGCTGTATTTAATTTAAAAAAAAAGCCAGGGGGCCAGAGAGATGGCACAGTAGGTAGCGCATTTACCTTGATGCCTGGCACCCCTTCTAGTCCCCTGAGCAAAGGCAGAAGTGATCCCCTGAGTGCAGACCCAGGAGTAACCCCTGAGCACCACCAGGCAAGGCCCCCCAGACCAAAATTTAAAAAATTAAAATGCTGGGCTGCCCCTTGTTCTGAGCTGTTGGTGGGTTCAGGTTGGAGATGCCAGTTAGGCAAGTTCAACCGAAATCACTGGCTGACTGAGGCTTCAGTGCGGTCTTGCTACCCTGGTGACGTTGAAAAGATTTCTCAAGGGCCAGAATGATAGCACAGCAGGAAAGGCACTTGCCTTGCATGCAGCTGATCTGGTCCCAGGCCCAGCATCACATAGGTTTCCCCAAGCCCGCCGGGAATAATCCCTGAGTACAGAGCCAGAAGAAAGTCCTGAGCACCACTGGGTGTGACCCCAAAAGGAAAAAAAAAAACGGTTTCTCTGTATGAGAATTCACATGTGTATGGTTAAGTTTGGAATTGGAGTAGAGGTCTTCCTACATCTGTTGTTTTTCATTCCTAGCATACAGGAAGGCTGAAGGTAGAGCTTCCCACACCCTTTCCAGATAGGGTCTTTCTCCAGTGTGACATTTTCCATGGACAGGAAGGCCTGGAGAATGAAGGGTTGGCTGTTTTTCCCCATTGAAAAGGATTCCATACAGGTGGGTCACTGCTGTGGAACCCATGCCCTAGAGTCAGAACAGAGGATGAGAGAGACCCAGTGCTTTGGCTGAGAGCCCCAAGGGTGGGGCTAGCTTCATGGATTTTTTTTTTTTTAGTTCTGTACCACTGTCCTCTTGGCTCCCATCACATGGGCCCTCTCTTTGCAAGTTCACATACACATGAAGCCCAAAGGCATGCTGGCATAGCTACAAGCGGCAAGTACCTCTCCCTTCTACGTGATGATGTGGGAACCTTCTCATACTCTTGCAGGATTGCTTCCGGCTTGCCTGCTTTTCAGCAATCCCTGTTGTCAAAACGAAAACTTTTTCTATGCAGGGGGACTGTCGTGACCTTGAGGATTTTTAGAAGGGGTTGATTTCACACCTAGTGTGCCATCTCTTGTGGATAATGAGGGTGTGAGGGTCCGGGAAAGCCTTCCCATTAGACAACTAGTGCTTCGTACTTTGTATGAACTCTCCTGTGCTCAGTCAGTCTTGAGGCCCTACTAAAGGTCTTCCCACATTCTGGACACATGTGGGGTTTCAGACCAGAGTGGATTTGCCGATGCCTGTTCAGGACTGAATGATGCGTGAAGGTTTTCCCACATTCCTGACATCCGTAAGGTTTCTCGCCCCTGTGAATTCGCATGTGTTCGGTAAGGTTTGAGGATCGGGTGAAGGCCTTCCCACATTCCTCACATGCGTATGGTTTCTCTCCACTGTGAACCATCATATGTCGAGTGAGGACCGTGGGGGCGATAAAGGCCTCGCCACACTCCTGACATGCATAAGGTTTCTCTCCAGTGTGAAGTCTCCTATGCTGAGTAAGGTAGGAGGACGTAGCAAAGGCCTTCCCGCACACCTCACACATGTTGGGGCTCTCTCCCGTGTGCATCCTCTGGTGTTCCAAGAAGTATAAGGGGGAAGTAAAGACCTTCCCACATTCCTGACAGACATTGAGTTTCTCTCGAGTATGAATGCTCCTATGTCTTGAGAGGTAAAAGGACCTTGTGAAGGCCTTCCCGCAGTCCTGACATGTGAAAGGTTTCTCGCCGGTGTGAACTCTCCTATGTTGGGTAAGGTTGGAGGACGCCGAGAAGACTTTCCCACACTCCTGACAGACATAAGGGTTCTCTTCGGTGTGAAGTCGTTTGTGCTGGGCAAGGTATGAGTAGGAGGCAAAGGCCTTCCCACATGCCTCACAGATATAGGGGCTCTCTCCCGTGTGGTTTCTCCTGTGTTTAGACAGGGATGACGATGAGATAAAGGCCTTCCCACAGTCTTGACATATGTAGGGTTTCTCACCGGTGTGAATCCTGATGTGGTGAGTAAGGGAAGAGGGCTTAGTGAAGGCCTTCCCGCATTCCTGACACACATAAGGTTTCTCTCCTGTGTGCATTCTCCTGTGTGCAGTCAGGGCTGATGCATGCGTGAAGGCTTTCCCACATTCCTGACAGGCATAGGGTCTCAGGCCCGTGTGAACTGTCCTATGGATAGAAAGGTGTGAGGAGCGAGTGAAGGTCTTCCCACATTCCTCACAGACATAAGGCCTCTCCCCTGTGTGAATCCGCTTATGTTTGGAAAGGGAGGATTTCTCCCGAAAGGCTTTCCCGCATTCCTGACATCCATATGGTCTTTCCCCGGTGTGAATTCGCCTGTGTCTGGAAAGGGATGAAGGAAAAACAAAGACCTTCCCACAGTCCTGACATACAAAAGGGTTCTGTCCGGGACGCAACTGCCCAAGTTTAGAAAGAGGGGATGCCAAAGCAAATTCCTGATAGGCAACAGGATACTCGCCTAAGTGAAGTCTCATGTGCTCAGTGAGGTTGGAGGAGCGAGTGAAGGCCTTCCCGCACTCCTGACACGCGTACGGTTTCTCTCCAGTATGAATTCTCCTATGCATAAGAAGTTTGGAGGAGTACACAAAGGCCTTCCCACAATCTTTACATATATAAGGTTTCTCTCCAGTATGCATTTTCCTATGTATTATAAGTTTTGAGGAATAAGTGAAGGCCTCCCCACATTCCTTGCATATAAAAGGTTTCTCTCCAGTATGAATTCTCCTATGGATAATGAGATGTGAGGAGTAAGCGAAGGCCTTCCCACATTGCTTACACACATAAGGTTTCTCTCCAGAATGGATTTTCCTATGTATGGTAAGGCTTGAAGGTCGAGTAAAGGCCTTCCCACATTCCTCACATGCATACGGTTTCTCTCCAGTATGAATTCTCCTATGGATAATAAGGTTGGAAGACCGATCAAAGGCCTTCCCACAGTCTTTACATACATAAGGCTTCTCTCCAGCGTTTATGTTCATATGGTCAAGCCTCAAAGTTTGACTTGCTGTTTGACCCAAAGTTTGTTCTCGCTGCTGACATTCCTGGGGGTTCTGTCCACTGTGGGTTTCTAAGGGAACATCATGGTGCTGAGAACACGGGAAGGCTCCCTCACATTCCTCACACTGGGACGGGGTCAGTCCATGGTGACTTTGCTTGTGGGCTTGTTGGCATGAGGGACTCACTATAAACAGTGCTCCTCTCCCACAGTCCAGGGGCCACCTGAATAGGGGAAGTTGTGTTTGTGGACTGAGGGCAGTAGACTCTGAGGAGTTTTCCTCAGGGGAGGGCTTTTGCAGAGTGAGGTCGCTCTCTTCATTCTGATCACCTTCAGAGGACATCCCGCCTGTCTCAGCATTGCCATGGGTCTGAGGGCACGATGGCTCACTCAAGATTTTGTCACACTGCGCAGGATCAGAGACATTCCACCAGGGCTGGCTGCTTCCCTATAGAACAGCAGAGAAGGAGTCCAATTATTGCTCTATGCCTTGATAGTCTTCATGGCCGAAACACAATGAGCCCTGCTTGTGTGATTTCTAACATTTGCACCTCACAAATGCAGTTCCTGATATGTCTATGGTGCTTCCATGGAATGACCTAATGTTTCTGCAAGATGGATGTGCAAATTTCATAGTGCTTTTTCCCCTTCAACTCAATGAACAGGTAAATAGATTCCTCTGCAGAATTGGAAGCACTGGTTTTGATCAAAAATGTAAAATGTGTCAAAATTTGGGGCAGAGGTACAGCTCAGGGGTACAGACTGTGTTTACAGGTGTGAAGATAAGGTTAGATTCCCAACAGCTGAAAGATCTTCAGTATAGCGATTGTTTAGAATAACTGATTGTATGTGTATCCCTTTCAAAGATCAATGAGTTTTTTATTGTTTTGTTTTTGGCGGGGGGAGCGTTGAGGGGCATATTTGGTTATACACTGGTCTTGCTCCAGGTTCTATACTCAGGGATTATTACTGGTGGGATGCAGGGAACCCTGTGGAGTTCTGTGGGTGGAAACTGAGTTCTGTGGTGGGCTGCACGCAAGGTATGTACCCTACCCATTGTACTATTGCTCCAGCTCTCAGACGGGCTATTTAAACAGCAAAAACTAGTGCTTAAATTCTGTCGAGGGAAAAATCACAGCATTTCCATGGTATGAAAATATGTCTTGGGGCTAGAGTGATAGCACAGTAGGTAGGGCGTTTGCCTTGCAAGCAGTCAACCAGGGTTCGATTCCCAGCATCCCATATGGTTCCCCTGAGCACCGCCAGGAGTGATTGCTGAGTGCAGAGCCAGGAGTAATCTCTGTGCATCGCCAGGTGTGACCCAAAACGCAAAAAAAAAAAAGTTGTCTTTAGGTTTGTTTGTTTTTGGTTTTGTGGGGTCACGTTCCAAAATGCTCAGGGATTACTCGTGGTTCTGCACTCAGGATTCCTTCTGGCGGTGCTTGGGGGACCATATAGAATGCCAGGGATCAAACTAGAGTCAGCTGTGCACAAGGCAAACATCCTCCCTGCTGTACTATCTCTCCAGCCCTAAGTTGTTTTTTTTTTAATTTTTATTAATGAAACACCATTAGTTGTAGACTTACAAAATGTTTGTGGTTGGGTTTCAGTTATACAATGATCGAGTACCCATCCCTCCACCAGTGCCCGTTCTCCACCACCACTAATCCCAGTATCCCTCCCACCCCCCACCCCCCATCCCACCCTCCCTCTGTGGCAGGGCACTTCCTTGTTCTCTCTCTCCTTTTCAACCGCAAGTTTTTTTTTTTTAAATGTACTTTAATAGGCCTGTGAAGTTAAGGGGCTACTTGTCAAGCACTGGGTTCTCAGGTTCCTGGCTCAGTGCCAAGAGACCACTTAGGTGGTAACAAGGATGGGACCTGACCCTACACATGCAAATCATATCTTGGTCCACCGAGCAATAATTCTGCCATAGTAATTTTTATTTTTCTGTTTAAAAAAATCTGGGCAGCACCCAGTGTCGTTCAGGCTTTGCACTTCGGGAACATTCCTGGCGGGGCTCAGGGGAACCTTTGTTTTTTGTTTGTTTGTTTGTTTGTTTTTTTGCTTTTTGGGTCACACCCGGCCATGCACAGGAGTTACTCCTGGTTCATGCATTCAGGAATTACTCTTGGCGGTGCTCGGGGGACCCTATGGGATGCTGGGAATCGAACCTAGGTCTTCTGCGTGCAAGGCAAATGCCCTACCCGCTGTGCTATTGCTCCAGCCCCTCAGGGGAACCTTTGGGATAGACCTGGGCCAGCTCCCTACAAGGCAAGTGCCTCATGTCTGGGCAGACAGGTATTGTAATTTTTTTTTTTTTTTGCTTTTTGGGACACTCTGGTGGTGTACAGGTGTTACTCCTGGCTCATGCACTCAGGAATTACACATGGTGGTGCTCAGAGGACCATATAGGATGCTGGGAATCGAACCTGAGGGGTTACTCCTGGCTCATGCACGCAGGAACTACTCCTGGCAGTGCTCAGAGGACCATATGGGATGCTGGGAATCGAACCCGGGTCTGCCGCGTGCAAATCAAACGCCCTACTCGCTGTGCTATCACTCCAGCCCCAGGTATTGTTGACTTTTTTGAATCTTACCTTCTCACACCTATTTGGCGAGCCAGTTCCCAAATCAAATGGCTGCAATGACAAGTTCTGAAGCTCTGATTCGTGTTCTAAAAATCAAACACAATACACAAGGTAAGAATTATGGAATGGAAGAGAGTAGAAGGTGGCAAAAACTGGTGGGATGAATTCTGTATTGCTTTCACAATTTTTTGTTTCGTTCTGTTTTGCTTGGGGGGTCACACTCAGTGATACTCAGGGTACTTACTCCTGGCACTGCACTCAGGGATCACTCCTGACGGTGCTCAGGAGACCCTATGAGATACCAGGGATCAAACTTAGATTGGCTGCATGCTGACAAGTGTCCTCCCCGCTATACGACTGCCCTGTACTGTTTTCATATTTTAAAAAGGTTTACAGAGGCTGGAGTGATAAATTTCAGGAGCCTGAGGCCCCCCACACCCCCACACTGCTCAGGGCCTGAGCCAGGGAAGGTCCTCAGACACTCACCTGCACACACACCTCTCCTTCCCAGCTTCAGGGCTCTTTCTTCCAACCAGGAGATCACTGCAGGCTTCACCCCAGAATGCCCTGCTCACAGAGACGGAAGCACGGATTAGTGACAAGGAAAACACAACAAGCCTCCCCTGTGTGTCCTGAAGAAAACTGACCAAATTTACTGAAAAGAGATGAACAAAATCTGCACTTTGTATGTGCCCCATATATGTTATCTGCTAGAGAAGACTCAAGTTGAAATTAAGAATCAAATTGCAGGCTTGAGCAATAGTACAGCAGGGATGGTTCAATCCCTGGCTTCCCATATGGTTCCCGTATTACACTAAGGAGTGATTCCTGAGCACAGAGCCAGGAGTAAATACTGGTCCCACCGGCAATGGCATCTCTCCCCACCACCAAATTTCCTCGAAAGTATCAAAACAGAGTGCAAGAGAGTCCAAAGTTTGGGGCATGTGGTGCAGGAACCTCAGGTTTGATCCTTGGTGCCGCTCCACGGTCCCACTAGCACCATGGAAGTGACGCCAATCCCCAAAGTCCAACAGTTCTGATAACGCTTGCCCCCAAGGTAAGAAATAAAAACAACTTAAGTGAACTACAAGTCAATGGACTGATTGAAGCCAAGGAAGGCAGGCTCTGGCCCACCAGCATCACGTCCATTATTGAGAATCTGTCTGGGAGAAGGATGCGGTATGACAGCCTCCTCTTTTCTGTGGGTTTTTTTTTTTTTGCTTTTTTGGGTCACACCTGGCGATGCACAGGGGTTACTCCTGGATCTGTACTCAGGAATTACTCCTGGCGGTGCTCAGGGATGCTGGGAATCGAACCTGGGTTGGCCGCGTGCAAGGCAAACGCCTTACCCGCTGTGCTATCGCTCCAGCCCCTTTTCTGTGGGTTTGGGGGTCATACCCAGCAGTGCTCAGGGCTTCTTCCTGGCTCTGTGCTCAGGGAGCACTCGTGGAGGGATACAGGACAATATGGGGTTCTGGGGATGGAACCCAGGTTGGGTTCATTCCACTGCAGTTACTTCTCTGGTCCCTAGAGCCACACTTTATTTATTTATTTATTTATTTATTTGGGCTGGAGTGATAGCACAGCGGTAGGGCGTTTGCCTTACAAGCAGCCAACATGGCCGACCCCAGTTCGATTCCTCCACCCCTCTCGGAGAGCCTGGCAAGCTACTGAGAGTATTGGATATGCCAGACACAGTAACAACAAAGTCTCCAATGGAGACGTTACTGGGCCCGCTCGAGCAAATCGACGATCAACGGGAGGGCCTTTACCTTATTTATTTATTTATTTATTTTCTTTTTGGGTCACACCCAGCGATGCACAGGAGTTACTCCTGGCTCTGCCCTCAGGAATTACTCCTGGCGGTATTAGGAGGACCACATGGGATGCTGGGAATCGAACCCAGGTTGGCTGCGTGCAAAGCAAACACCCTACTTGCTGTGCTATTGCTCCAGCCCCTCTAGAGCCACACCTTTTTTTTCTGCTTTTTGGGTCACACCCGGCGATGTTCAGGGGTTACTCCTGGCTTTGCACTCAGGAATGACTCCCGGCGGTGCTCAGGGGACCATATGGGATGCTGGGAATCGAACCTGGGTTGGCCGCGTGCAAGGCAAACACCCTACCCGCTGTGCTATCACTCTAGTCCCTAGAGCCACACTTTAAATGTAGATACCACAGGGATGCAGAGAGAGGGTGCTGGTCCCTCCTAATCCCCCAGCAGAGTGTCCCAGCCCAGCCCCACCCACCCCAACACACCCAGAGCCCATGCAGGTCTGACCCAGCATGGGCGGTGGCCCCAATGTTTCTCACCGATGGCCTGCAGGTGCTGGTAGGTCTCCAGCATCACGTCCCTGTAGAGCTTCCTCTGAGAGGCATCCAGGCACGTCCATTCTTCTGGGGTAAAGTTCACGGCCACGTCAGGGAAGGTCACCATGTCCTGAGCCGACACACACAGGGGGTGGGAGTCAGGGCCTGTCCTCACCCCTTTCCCTGGGTTTTGAGGATGGGATCCCCAGGGCCCAAGATGGTCTTAGGGCCTCTCCTCTTGGGGGGAACCAGCCTCAATGTCCCCTTTTCTCCACCTGCTTTCCTGGCTGACAGGCCCCAGCAATCACTCTAAAGAAGCCAGATCAGCTACAATGATGTGGGCACATTGTACTAGAAGTTTCTTGCTCAGAATCAATCCCAGGCCAATCCCGGTTCCCCTGAGTCCCGTCAGCCTCCTGGTGCTAACACCAAGAGCAGAGTCAGTAGGAGTCAAAAAGCAACTCCAGGGGCCGGATCGATAGCACAGCGGGTAGGGCGTTTGCCTTGCACGCAACCGACCTGGGTTCGATCCCCGGCATCCCATATGGTCCCCCAAGCACCTCCAGGAGTAATTCCTGAGTGCAGAGCCCTGAGCATTTCTGGGTGTGATCCAAAAAGCAAAAAAAAAAAAAAGCAACTCCAGGGGCCAGGAGTGGGGAGGGCTTTGCCTTACACACGGCCCACCGGGATTCAGTCCCTGGAACCCCATGGGCTTCCAACACACACTGCCAGGGGTGATTTCTGCGTGCAGAGTCAGGTGTAACCCAGGAGCATCGCTGGGTGTGGCCCAAAAAGGAAGAAGAAAGGCAACTCTAGGTGTGAACCCAAACCCTAAACATACCCCCATTGCCTGCAAGCCCTCACAGCACCTCTCTGCCCAGGGCTCTAGGGATGAGAAGGGGCCACTCAATGTCCAGTGAGCGACTCAGAACCGGACGTGATCGACTCAGCATTCATGGCCCCTGTGCACCCAAATCACTCCGGAAGCAGGACAAACGACTCGGCTCCCAACAGCTATGCTGACCCAAAAGACCCTTCACTCTCATTTTCCCAAGAGAGCCACAAGGTGATGTCACTGCAGCCACAGCAGCTTTGGAAGTGAAGCTATTTTACTGAGGCAGGTTGTAGGGAGGCAGAAAGAAGGGAAAAGGAGAAAGGCATGTCCTTGGGGCCCAAAGCAATATAGCAAAGTAGGGCAAAGGCCCCATATAGGGTCCTCTGAACCCCCAGGAGTTCACGGCCTCCTGTGCTCAGGGAGCACTCCTGGAGGGATACAGGACAATATGGGGTTCTGGGGATGGAACCCAGGTTGGGTTCATTCCACTGCAGTTATCTCTCTGGTCCCTAGAGCCACACTTTATTTATTTATTTATGTATTTATTTATTTTCTTTTTGGGTCACACCTGGCAATGCACAGGGGTTACTCCCGGCTCTGCCCTCAGGAATTACTCCTGGCCGTGCTCGGGGGACCACATGGGATGCTGGGAATGCAGAGAAAGAAATAGGTCCTGAAGATCACTGGGCATGGCATCAAATAAAACACAAAATAAACAGAAGGCCAAAAGGTAATACAGCGGGTCAGGAGCTAGCCTTGCACTTAGTCAACCCGGGTTCCTTCCTGTGCACCCCAGCTTGAACCCCACCAGCAGCGATTCTTGCTTGAGGTAAGAACCAGGAATAAACCTTCAGCATCACCTGGCGCCCATAAATCAAACCAAACCGAACACGTACACATAAGAGCGACCTAACACAGCAGAGAGACGGGCCGGAGTGACAGCACAGCGGGTAGGGCATTTGCCTTGCATGCGGCCAACCTGGGTTCAATCCCCGGCATCCCATATGGTCCCCTGAGCACCGCTAGGAGTAATTCCCGAGAGCAGAGCCAGGAGTAACCCCTGAGCATTGTTGGGTGTGACCCAAAAAGCAAAAAATAAATAAATAAAACAGCAGAGAGAGTCCCGAAGTGATAGCACAGCGGGCAGAGTGTTTGCCATGCACATGGCTAGCCCTGGTTAGGTCCCTGATTGCCTCATTTCATATGGCCCCCCCAAGCACCATCAGGAGTAATTCCTGAGTGCAGAGCCAAGAGTAACCCCTGTACACTGCCATGTGTGGCCTAAAAACGGTCACGGTCATGGTCATGGTCCTCCCGTTGTTCATCGATTTGCTCGAGTGGGCCCAGTAACGTCTCCATCGTGAGACATGTTACTGTGTTTGGCATATCGAATACGTCACGGGGAGCTTGCCAGGCTTTGCCATGCGGGCGAGATACTCTCGGTAGCTTGCCGGGCTCTCCGAGAGGGGTGGAGGAATCGAACTCAGGTCGGCCATGTGGGCCTTGTGCAAGGCAAACGCCCTACCCCTGTGCTATCGCTCCAGCCCTAAAACCAAAACAAACTAATAAGAAACTGCAGAGAGTCAGGCTCTCTGACCACGAGCCACATGTCAGGGCTCCTTCCTGAAATAACAGTCAGCCCTGGAAGCCTGTGTGCTCCTGTCACTGCATCATGTCATCTTGTCACTCTCTTACCTGGGGACAGTGTGCCAGACGATGTGTCACCATCTTCTTCAGCCTGTTACTCCCAAGCTTCAGCAGGAGGTTCCTTGCAAAGACCTGGAGGAGAAGTGAGAGCTGTGAGCACCAGAGAGGAGCACAACCCATCTGGCCCTGACCGGAAGTTCCTGCATTGGAGCCAGAAATGCCCTGACTGGCTGTATCCCTGGGCACAGGCTCACAGACCCACCCAGGAGAGACACTGTCGGATGCTCTTTCCTCTCCAGGGGATGCAGAAGCAGGTTGGGATCTGGGCTGCCTGTCAGGACAAGAGCACTGGCCTCTGTCTATTAGGGGGTTGTGTGTGTGTGTGGGTGGGCTGCAACCCAGAGCCCCAGGACTCCTCCCTGGGCCCCTCAGGAAGGTTCCCTCACGGTCCCAGGGGCTAACTCTGAGGTCAGGAACTCCCAAGCATCAGCGCCCCCTGAAAGTTGGTAGCAGGGCTGCTCCCAATGACTACAGCCCCAAAAGCAGCTCTGTCACTGGGGTGGACACAGGGACACAACGAGGATAAACCCTCGGTCTCAGCTCTTGGTGGGTGGATGGGAGCATAGCTCACCCCCCTCCGCAAAAAAAAAAAAAAATTGGGCAAAGCAGAACTGAATGCCAACAATATAGGTGGAAAATCCTGCCTTGAAATGAAACCACAGCTTACAGTAGAGGGATTTTTTTTTTTTGTTCGGTTGTTTGGTTTTATGGGCCACAGTTGGCAATGTCAGGGATTACTTCTGGCTCTGGAGTCAGGAATCTTTTTTTTTTTTTTTTGCTTTTTTGGTCACACCCGGTGATGCACAGGGGTTACTCCTGGTTCTGCACTCAGGAGTTACTCCTGGCGGTGCTCAGGGGACCATATGAGATGCTGGGAATCGAACCCGAGTTGGCTGCGTGCAAGGCAAATGCCCTCCCCGCTGTGCTATCTATCGTCATATGGGATGCCAAATATCAAAATCAGGTTGGCTGCATGCAAGGTATGTGCCTCTCTGCTATAATACTCTCTGGCCCAAGCAAAAGAGGATTTTTCTATGAATGGCACCGGGTTATACCAGTATATGCTCATGGCTTAGTTTCTGGTTTCTGATTGGATGGAGGCCACACCCAGCACCGATCAGGATCTCCACATCAATTTTTCATGGACTCTATAATTTTGCTCCTTTGGGCACTTAATTTTGTTTGCAAAAAAGGAGGGAAAAACTATGTTCTGCCCAAACGATCCTTTCTTGAGGCCTCACACAGAGATGCTCAGGGCTTACTCCTGGCTCTGCACTCAGGAATTACTCATGAAGGTGCTCAGGGGAACTTCTGAAATGCCGGGGATCAAACCCAGGCTTTGGGGGCTGGAGCAATAGCACAGCGGGTAGGGCGTTTGCCTTGCAAGCGGCCTACCCGGGTTCGATTCCCAGCATCCCATATGGTCTCCTGAGCACCGCCAAGGGTAATTCCTGAGCACAGAGCCAGGAGTAACCCCTGTGCATCGCCGGGTGTGACCCAAAAAAAAGAAAAAATATCAAACCCAGGCCTTTACTTAGAGTTTCTTTTTCTCCTGGCAGCCTCTCATTGAAAGTATTCCAGAATATTCACATCTAAGAATTTTTTTTTCCTTCTGACTTTTGGGCCATACCTGGTGATACTCAGGGGTCCATATGGGATGCTAGGGATCGAACCTGGGTTGGTCAAGTACAAGACAAACATCCTCCTTCATCTAAGAATATCTTCTAAAGGTATGAACAGAGAGGGTCTGAGAGAGAGAGAGAGCTCACCGGGCTGGAGAAGTGGGGGCCCTTCCCTAGTACCCACTGTCCACTGGTCCCCTAAGCGGAGGGGTAGCAGCCCTCAAGCACCACCAGGAGAGACCCAAATCCCAACTCCCCCCAGTCACCGTCACCGTCCTCCGTTGTTCATTGATTTGCTCGAGCGGGCCCAGTAACATCTCTATCGTGAGGCTTGTTGTTACTGTGTTTGGCATATCGAATACGTCACGGGTAGCTTGCCATGCTCTGCCGTGCGGGCGAGATACTCTTGGTAGCTTGCCGGGCTCTCCGAGAGGGGTGGAGGAATCGAACTCGGGTCGGCCATGTTGGCCGCTTGTAAGGCAATCGCCCTACCGCTGTGCTATCGCTCCAACTCCCCCCAAAGTATTAATATAGACCCAGGGAGAGGAGCTCAGACAGCTGAGTGCATGCTTGGAGCAGGAGAAGGCAAGAGACCTGAGCATCTCCAGGATAGATGGAAAAAAAACACCCCCTCCCCCCCCAAAAAAACCCAAAGGTCAGGGAATCCTGATCAGTAGGACAGCAGGTAGTGAGGTGTTTACCTTGCATGTGACCAACCCCAATTTGATCCCTGGCATTCTATATGGTCCCCTGAGCTTATAAGTGTGATCCCTGAGGCGCTGGAGTGATAGCACAGCAGGTAGGGCATTTGCCTTGCATGCGGCCGACCCAGGTTCGATTCCAGCATCCCATATGGTTCCCCCGAGCATCAGCAGGGGTAATTCCTAAGTGCAGGAGCCAGGAGTAACCCCTGTGTATTGCCGAGTGTGACCCAAAAAGAAAAAAAAAAGTGATCCCTGAGCAAAACCAGGAATAAGCCAGGGGTGAGGCTCCCTGTGGTGGTGGAGGGAGGAGGAGGAGGTGGAAAAGGAGTAGGGGGAGGGGAAAGAGGGGAAAGAGAGGAGGGGAGGAGGAGGGCGGAAGAAGAGGAGGAGAAGGAGGAAGAGAAGGAGAAGAAATGCTGATGAGCAATGCAAAATGGAGGAGGAAGAATGGTTTTGTGCAAAGAAAAATTTTACTGCAGCTGGTCCTTCCAAGGACCAACATTTTTCCAACCCCCCTTTTCTGCAGTACTCACCCCCGCAGTCTGGGTTTGAGAGGTCGGGGAGGGATGGATAGTGGGTGGTGCCAGCAACTTGACAGGCAGAGCAGAAATTTTTTTTTTCTGGTTAAAAATAAAAAAGTCTCATTTAGTACCAGCGGCTGGAGCGATAGCACAGCGGGTAGGGCGTTCGCCTTACACGTGGCCAACATGGCCGACCCGAGTTCGATTCCTCCGCCCCTCTCGGAGAGCCCGGCAAGCTACCGAGAGTATTCGATATGCCAGACACAGTAACAACAAAGTCTCCAATGGAGACGTTACTGGGCCCGCTCGAGCAAATCGACGATCAACGGGAGGGCCTTTACCTTTACCTTTTACCTTAGTACCAGGAATTTTGCTCCATGACTTGAAGGCCAGCCACACGTGCTAGGGGAAAAGGAAGCTCAGATAGAGAAGAGAGCACCAAATAAAGGGTGTTGTGAGGACCCTCCCAGGGTGGGAGAAGCATGCTCAAAGTAGTCTATAGACCAAACATGATTGCCACTCAATGCCTCTCTTGCAAAACACAGTACCCAAAAGAGAGAGAGAGAACAAGGGGGAATGCCCTGCCACAGAGGCAGGGTGGGACGGGGGTGGGGGGGGTTGGGGGGTTGGAGGGATGTTGGGACCCGTGGTGGTGGAGGATGGGCACTGGTGGAGGGATGGGTACTTGATCATTGTATAACTGAAACCCAAGCACAAAAATTTATAAGTCTCTAACTGTACCTCATGGTGTTTCACTAATAAAAAAATTTTTTTAAAAAATTAAATATTTCTATTTTGGAAAAAAAAATAAAAAAAATAAAAAAAGTCTCTTGGGGCTGGAGCAATAGCACAGCAGGTGGGGTGTTTGCCTTGCACTAGACCTACCCGACCCGGGTTCGATTCCCAGCATCCCATATGGTCCCCTGAGCCCCGTCAGGGGTAATTCCTGAGTGCAGAACCAGGAGTAAACCCTGTGCATCCCCGGGTGTGACCCAAAAAAGCAAAAAAAAAAAAAAAGTCTCAAAGAGTGGCTGGAGGAGGGGAAGTACAGCGTTTAAGGGCATTTGTCCTGCAAGCGGCTGACCTGGGTTCAAGCCCAGACACCATACTGGACTCATGACAGGTTCTGATCCTGGAGTGTGGAGCTGGAGTAAAATCCCTGACGTGTGCGTGTGTGTGCATGCTGCATGTGTCTGCGTCTGCGTGTGTATGTGTGTGTGTGTGTGTGTGTGTGTGTGTGCATGCTGCATGTGTCTGCGTCTGCGTGTGTATGTGTGTGTGTGTGTGTGTGTGTGTGTGTGTGTGTGATCCCGCTAGGTGTAAAAACCCTGAGCATCTCTTGAAGTGTCACCAGGATCACGACCCCCCAACCCCCGTGCGCCTCGCCCCCTCTTGGCACCCAATGAAAAGGATCGGACAATATCGATCACTTCCCATCAGGTCGATCACTTCGAGGTGATCGCCCTGGGTCCCAAAGCGAATCTGGAGGGAGCTTCTACACCCGCGGGGGCTGGTCACGGGCACCAGTACCGGGACATGCACAGTCCAGTGAAGAGATGATCGGGCCGACCCAGCCGCCTGCAGATGTCCCCGCGAGCCCCAGTGACGAGGGAAACGGATCCCGGAGCGGCCGGAGGCGTGAAAGGCACCCGGGGGGGCTCCGAGGGTCCCCCCTCCAGCGGGGCGGACCCTGCTAGGCCCGGAGGTCGCAATCGCCGCTTCCCCGACGGGGGTCCGCGGGGAAACAGAGGCCACCGTGGGGCTCTGAGCCCAGGCCTGGGCGAGATCGAGCCCCCCACGGCGCCCGCCGAGACCCAGGAATTCTTCGCGCTCGGGGGGTGCCTGTCACTCCCCCGTAGCTCCTTCTCGGGGCGCCCCCGCCCCTCCCCACGCGCAGATCGAGGAGTTTCAGGCGCTCGGAGCAGCCACTGGGCGGTGCGAGGGGGAAACTCGGCTTTCTGGGGCCACCCCCGCTCCCCCCCGGGCACCCAGCGGTCCGCTACTCACCTGGGCACCCGCGGCGGCGGCTCCGCGGCGTTACCGCCCCCCTGCGCGGAGCGCCCGAGGGTAAAAGACCCGGATCGCGTGACGTCACTCCCCGCTGCCAAAGCCTTAAAGGGCCAGGCTCCGTACTTCCCAAGCCAGGGAGGTGAATTTTTCCCTCTTCCCTCCCTCCCTCCCCGCGAACAGCTGGGGGTCACCCAGCCAGTGAGAGATGAAGAGTTGGGGGAACCGAATGGTTTGATAGGTCGAGCAGAAATTCTCTCTCTTTTTTTCCTGGGAGGGGAAAAAAAAATCAGAAAGGTTTCTTTACAAACTGCAGCAGGAACACGCCCCTGGCCGGCCCGCCCCCTCCTCGCAGTCAATGAAAATAACTGCCTGTGATAATAAGGTCTGTTTCCCTAGCAGGCCAGGGTGCCTGGTCCCTTCAAGTGAAGTTGGAGGTTCTACAATGCATCTGGGACTTAGGATCTACAATGCATCTACAATGCATCTGGGACTTGATACTTGTGTAGTAACTTAGAAGGGAAGATCAGGATGACTCTGTCCCCCAGTACCCCAGAGTTGTCCCACCAAGGTTGACGCGAATTCCTTCTGTAGTTTCCTAACCCACTCCAGGAGTGGCCTCTGAGCTTAGAGCAAGGAATAAGCCCTGAACACCTCGGTGTGCCTTCTCCCAGTCCCACAGTTTAGCCAGAGAAGTAGCTTTCAGACTATTTTCAATGATAAAGCATAAGGTAACTCCAGGTCCCTTCCCCCAATTCAAGATTTGAATGCATTGCTGGATTTAGCTAGGGGTAATAGAAACCCAGGACACTCCCTTGCAAAGGAAAAGTTCAAGCACTTTGAAGTTGTCGCCCAGATCTATACATTTGAAAGTTTTTCAAACTTACAAAAATATCTTGACACAGAAAGCACGAAAGCTTGAATATATTTTAGGGTGGTGCCAAATGTCAGCTTAAAGGGCAGATGAGGGTCCAGAGCAGAGAGGGCGCTTGCTTTGCACGCGTGTTTGAAGCCAGGCATTCCATATAGTTTCCCTGCACACGTGTTTGAAGCCAGGGATTGCATATAGTTTCCCTGCACTGCCAGGAGTGATTCTGGAATGCAGAGTAAGAAGCCCCTGAACATTGCCAGGTGATGCTCTAAAACAAAACAAAGCAAAAAAATTAGAGGAGAGCATTGATCAATACTTGATCATTGATCAATACATTGATCAATACTTGATCATTGATCAATACATTGATCAATACTTGATCATTGATCAATACATTGATCAATGTCATTAAAGGTGGCATTGATCAAATACTTCAAGAAAAGCCCTACGTGCATCCGCGCGTTCCAAGGAGCCACCCTGAGTCGCCCCGCCCTGCCTGCCCCGCCTTCCAGTGACCCCGCCCACAGCCATGCCCACGAGTGCCTGTCAGCGCCAACCCCACTCTAAGGCGCGCACATCCTCCTCGAAGTCTGGCCCTTTAAGGCGCAGGGAAAAGCGGAAATGACGTCATCATCCAGGGCCTTTTGTCTGCCTCGCCTTCCGTAAAGAAGCGAGTGACGTCAAGGAGCGGCCTTAAGAGTTTGTGGGTGAGGAACCAGATAAGGGGGCCCTCGGAGAGAAGGGGGTCATTGAAGGGCGATTTTGTCCCAGGACGGCGAGGGGCCTCTTGCGACAGCTCGGAAACTCCACGCTGTCCACACTGCGAGCCGCGGGGCGCTTCATCCACGTGTTCGGGGGGGAAAAGCCGCCCCGGGACCGCGGGGGACGTCCAAGAAGAAGCGTCTGTTGCGGCGCCCGCCCAGGGCCCGGGACCCACCCTGCGTCTCTCTCCGATCGCCGGTCCCCGGATGTGGGGGTGAGTCTGGGGGGGAGGCGGGCCCGGGCCCGTGCACGGGGCTGGCATCAGAATCGCCTTTGTCTTTGCAGTTCCCGATGGCTTAGGGGCCCCCGTGGGCTTTGCTCGGAGTTGGGGGGCTCGCGGCCGCCCGGCCTTGCAGCCGGACGGTGCGGGGCTCCTGACGCCTGGGCTGCTGCACCCGGGGCGCTCAGGACCCTCCAGGCCACACCCCTGTGTGTGTGTGATGGTGCAGGGACCGTGCAGTGCCGGAGTTCTTGCCGGGCCTGAGTGCTATGTGGGACACCCCCGATCTTTGTCTCCCCCAACCCAGAAACTTACCGGCGCCCACAGCTCTTTTCCAGCTGAGCTGCTTGGGAGAAGCGGCTGGCGGGGGCTGGGGCGTGGGGGTTGGGGGCGGGCAAGGAGGGAGGTTTGCGACTGCGTACAGCACAGACTGACTCGCTGTATTTCCTAAGGAGGCAGAATTGGGGGGTTCCTGTCTCCCGCGTGGGATGTGCGTGCATCGGTGTGATCACAGCTGCAGTGTCCACGGCCCTGGGCTCCAGGCACTGTCCTGTCCCACTGACCTATGTGTGGAGCATTGGGGTCACATGAGTCCTAGCGGGACAGGCGAAGGGCATGCGTGCGGCCCCTTGTCTCCGCTATTGGGGGGTGATTATGCTGTCCCACGAAAAGGCAGCTCTGCAAACCCAGTGCTGAATACTGGGTGAGTGTCCGGGTGTGGACCCCAGGCTGGGCTGAGTGAAGCTTTTTTCATTGAAAGTGGAGGAGCTGGTCCTGGAGGAGTCCAAGCTGGTGGTGTTTTGTTTTCTGGGTAGTTCTCTGAGCAGTCCTAGGTTGGGCTACTTGCAGGGGTGAGGGGTTAGGTGTGATGTAGAGGGGAGGGTGACCTTGGTGTCCTGAGTTTACAGGCTTCATGAGAAAAAACTTCGATGCAGGTTTAGGGAAAAGAACCAATTGGAAGAGGGAAGTCTCTGGTTCCATAAGGGGAAATAAAACTTAGTTTTCGCTGAACACATTTGAAGTCGGACAAGTGTCTGACTGTTGACACTGCAATTGAAAGAGCCATTTCTGATCACTTGGACAGTTTGCCCTGCCCAAGAATTGGGTTCAAGTAAAGGAACTAGAGTCAGGAGCAACTTCTGCCCAGACTGGAGTCAGAGTTGGTTTGCAGGGCATGGGCTCTGCAGAGCAAGGGAAGGCCTAAAGCTCTGTCTCAGTGCTCCTGAGCACCATGGATGGAGCCTTAAATGGAACAGTGGAAGTAGTCACTGCAGTACTTGCTTTATTTTGGCAGAAATTTGAGAGGAAATAAAATGTTGGTTGGGTGGAGGACCCACAGCTGGAAGTGCTCAGGGATCACTTTTGGCTCTGTGCTCAGGGAATCACTCCTTGGCAGGGCTTGGGGCACTGTGTGTAGTGATGGTCACTCAAGTGCAAAAGATGCACCCTGTCCACTGTACTGTGATGCATGAGCATGGCCGGGTGTGACCCATAAAGCAAAATATATATTAATAAATATATATAAATATATATTAATAAATATATATATTATATATAAAAGGTAACGGTAAAGGCCCTCCCGTTGATTGTCGATTTGCTCGAGCGGGCCCAGTAACGTCTCCATTGGAGACTTTGTTGTTACTGTGTCTGGCATATCGAATACTCTCGGTAGCTTGCCGGGCTCTCCGAGAGGGGCGGAGGAATCGAACTCGGGTCGGCCATGTTGGCCGCTTGTAAGGCGAACGCCCAACCCGCTGTGCTATCGCTCCAGCCCCAATAATAGAACACTCTTCATGTGTAGCTCTCAGAATCAAATGATCACATATATATTTTTTGCTTTTGGGTCAAAATATATATATTAATATATAGCAAAATATATATTAATAAATATGTATATAAATATATATTAATAAATATATATTATATAAAAGATATATATTAATAAATATATATTATATAAAAGATATATATTAATAAATATATATTATATAAAAGATATATATTAATAAATATATATTATATAAAAGATATATATTAATAAATATATATTATATATAAAATATATATATATATATTTTGCTTTTTGGGTCACACCCGGCGATGCTCATGCGTCAGAGGTTACTCCTGGCTCATGCACCCAGGAATTACTCCTGGCGGTGCTTGGAGGACCATATGGCATGTCGGGAATTGAACCCGGGTCGGCTGCATGCACGGCAAATGCCCTACCCTCTGTACTATAGCTCCAGCCCCCACTCTGTACTATCGTAATGATAATAATAGAACACTCTTTTTTTTTTTTTTTTGCTTTTTGGGTCACACCCGGCAATGCACAGGGGTTACTCCTGTCTCATGCACTCAGGAATTACCCCTGGCGATGCCTAGGGGACCATATGGGATGCTGGGAATCGAACCCGGGTCGGCCGCGTGCAAGGCAAACGCCCTACCTGCTCTGCTATCGCTTCAGCCCCAATAATAGAACACTCTTCATGTGTAGCTCCCAGAATCAAAAGATCACAAATGGTAGATCCCAGAATCGAGTGAGCAGGTCCTTGTGGGGTAAAAGACACAGCGGGCAGTCAGTAAGTGCAGGTGGGTGGTAACATTGTTTTCCTGTGCAGAGTTAGAGAAATTTCCAAGGATTTGAACTTTAAGCAGTCACTCGGATGTGTTGGTCACACAGCAGGACCTCGATGAGTCCAGGTCTAGTGGAATGGAGGTGGGGCTGTGCTTTGTGATCACCGGGGCCTGAAATGACCCAGGCCCATGTCCCATCCACAAGAGGGCAGCCTAGGGTTTGTCCATCTGTGAGCTGACTTTGGGAGCTGTGGTGTAAGGGGCAGTGCTGGTGTCAGCCTGCATGAGGCACTGATGTGTGGGAGCTCCTGGCCTCAGAGTCAGCCCCTGGCCAGGGGACCTGGACCAGAGGGAAGCTGTGGGCCCCAGGAAGAAATTCCACGGTTCAGGGCTGGAATTTCCTCCCCTCTAGAGAGAGAACAGGACTCCTGGTCAGGGCAAGAACTTCTTTTTTTTCTTTCTTTTGCTTTTTGGGTTACACCCGGCTATGCACAGGGATTACTCCTGGCTCATGCACTCAGGAATTACTCCTGGCGATGCTCGGGGGACCATATGGGCTGCTAGGAATCGAACCTAGGTCAGCTGCGTGCAAGGCAAATGCCCTACCCACTGTGCTATTGCTCCAGCTCCAGGGCAGGGACTTCTGATCAGGGCAGTGGGGTCATGTCATAGTGCCCAGTGTGTCTTACATATTTTCTTCCAGGTCATTTTCATAAACAACCTCTCTACCTGTCCTGGGAGATAACGAAGAAAAGGAAATGATGAGCCCTGGGCTGCCCAGTTGTCCTCAGGTAAGCAGGAAATGTTGCCTCGGGTTAGAAGGAAGTGTGGCCTAGGGTAATAGGAAGTGTGGCCTTTGGAAATGACCCACTGCATTATCCAGATGAGCACTTGTTTTTGAGTATTCGCTATTTAGGTGGTTTATTGATTTATTTATTCTGACTTGGGGGTCACACCTCATGGTGCTCAGGACCAGGCTCTGCTCAGGAGTGACCCCTAGAGGTGCTTGGGGAGCCATTTGGGGTGCTGGACATTGAATCTGACACATTCAAGACAAGTGTCTTAGAGTGTCTCAAATTTACTTAGCTATGGGGGAAATATGATTAAAAGCTCTCAGGATAGTTCTGAGATTATTTCCTGGGCTCCTGGCTGCCTTCGAGTGATTTTTGGGGTCTGTCAGCCAGGAGAGTACTTGGAGGGGAGGTCCTGAAGGCTGTTTCCTCCCAAAGGGAGAGGGGAAAGACCCTGAGCCCCACTAGGGCCCTGGGGTCGGGGCTCCCAGCATCATGCCCCATGGAAAATGGTGGGATGGCCTCACTCCCGCTCCCTTGTGTGTGTGTCGGCTCAGGACGCAGTGACCTTCCCCGACGTGGCCGTGAGCTTCACCCCAGAGGAGTGGACGTGCCTGGATGCCTCACAGAGGAAGCTCTACAGGGACGTGATGCTGGAGACCTACCAGCACCTGCGGGCCATCGGTGAGAGCAGCTAGGGCTGCTGTCTGGGCGAGGATGGACCCATATGGGTTCCTGGGATGGAGACCAGGGTTGCCTGCTAGGAAGCTGGAGTGATGGGACAGGCGCACCGCTCCGCACACTTGTGTTTTCATCCCGTGTGTCTTGTGGAAAAGTCATCTCTGGCTCACCCTTCACCGCCTCACTTCACAGATGCATGATCTCAGAATGTATCTGGTCCATTTCCTGAATCTGGGACTTTGGGGCTTGGGCCTTTGGATGTTTCCAGAACAATGCCTGTGTTTTTGGACATAAGCTTGAACAACCAAAAAAGAACTGGCATCTCTCTCTCTTCTCTCTCTTTCTCTCTCTCTCTCCTTTCCTCTTTACTCTCTCCTCTCTCTCTCTTTCTCTCTTATTTTACAAGTTTGAGGACAGAGAAAAAGGTGTGGGGGGGGAGGGAGAGAAAGAGAGAGAGAGAGAGAGAGAGAGAGAGAGAGAGAGAGAGAGTGTCCAAGAGTGAACACGGGCTTCAACAGAGGCTCTTGGGTGGACATTTTTGCCCATTCTAGGCACCACGTTCTCTGCCTGCTGGAAATTGCTGGAAATCTTGTTATTGTCATTGGGAAAAGCCTTGAACTTTTTTTTTTTCCTGCTTTTTAGGTCACACCCAGCGATGCACAGGGGTTATTCCTGGCTCTGCACTCAGGAATTACTCCTGGCGGTGCTCGGGGGACCACATGGGATACCAGGAATTGAACTCAGGTCGGCCGTGTGCAAGGCAGACACCCTACCCACTGTACTAGTGCTCCAGCTCCAAGCCTTGAACTCTTGATGATCCTTTTATCCTGGAGTACGCAGGGAAACCTACAGGGTGCTGGGGACCAGCTGGAGGTTGGCCATGTGCAGGGCAAGCGCCTTTCCCGCTGTGCTGTCGCTCCGATTCCTTTTTTTTTTTTTTTTATAAACACCTATTCCTTTTTTTTTTTTTTGCTTTTATTTGGGTCAGGATTCAGGAATCACTCCTGGCAGTGCTCGGGGGACCATATGGGATGCTGGGAATCGAACCTGTGTTGGCCATGTTGGCTGCGTGCAAGGCAAACGCCCTACCCGCTGTGCTATCGCTCCAGCCCCTCCGATTCCTTTTCGTGTTTTGGTTTTCTTTGGCCACAGTTGGTGGTGCTCAAGGCTTTTTCTTAACTCTGTGCTCTGGGATCACTCCTGCCAGGGCTTGGGAGGACGCTGTGGGGTGCCAGTGATCGAATGTAGGTCAGCTGAGTGCAAGGCTGGTGCCCTCCCCACCGAGCTCTGACCCCGGCCTGGTCCTCTAAAATATTTTATCACAGCCTTTAAATTGTTCAGTAGTTGCCCCTGCTCTGAGGTGGACCATTCTTCTCTGAGTAGGGCCTCAGTTTCCCCATCTCTGTGGCGCTCAGAGCTTTTGTATTGGTCAAATGTTTCATTTTCTGTTGGGAACAAGACTGCAGAAATGTGACTTTAAATTAAACTCTTTTTTGGGCTGGAGTGATAGCACAGCGGGTAGGGCGTTCGCCTTACAAGCGGCCAACATGGCCGACCCGAGTTCGATTCCTCCGCCCCTCTCGGAGAGCCCGGCAAGCTACCGAGAGTATTCGATATGCCAGACACAGTAACAACAAAGTCTCCAATGGAGACGTTACTGGGCCCGCTCGAGCAAATCGACGATCAACGGGAGGCCCTTTACCTTTACCTTTTACCTTGGGGTGGGGATGGGGAGTGTTTGGGCCATACCTGGCAGTGCTCAGGGTTTACTCCTGACTATGAGCTCAGGGATTACTCCTAGCGGGTCTGGGGCACCCTGTGTAGGGTGTGAATCGAACCCAGGCTGGCAGAGTTTTAATGCAGGCCCCCTCTCTGCTGTACTGTGACTTTGGCTTAAAAATTAATCTTTGGGGGGAGGGGGCAGAGTGATAGAACAACATGTAGGGCATTTTGCCATTCATTTGATATACCCGGGTTCAACCCCTGGCACCTGAGTATTGCCAGGAGTGAGCCCAGAGGCAGTCAGCCCTGGTCACAGCTGGGTGTGGTCCCAAAAGAGAACAAAGAGGAACTGGAGAGATAGTACCTCAGGTAAGATACTTGCCTTGTGTGGATCCGACCCTTGTTTGAGCCCACAAACCCAGAAGGTCCCCCCAACTGGCCATGCATGCTCCCTGAGCACAGAGCCAGGAGTTAAAGTCCTGAGCACTGCTGGTGTGGCCCAAAAGTGAAAGATAGAAAAAAAGGAACTCAGGCATGATTTTGGGGAAATTTGTGTGTGTGTGTGTGTGTGTGTGTGTGTGTGTGTGTGTGTGTGTGTGTTGGCAGGGTGGGGTTCACACATTCAAGTCCTGACAAGTCCTGACTTAATCCTGGCTCTGTACTCAGGGACCCCTATGGGGTGCTAGGAATTGAACCCAGGCCAGCGGCCTGCAAGATCAACGCCCTATTTTTTTTTTAATTTTTATTTTATTTATTTATTTATTTTTGGTTTATACCCATTTGTGTCTCCTTCCATGCGAATAGGGAATTTCGGGGAGCAGCCTGCTGTGATCCCTGAGATGGAGCCAGGGGATTGGAAGACAGAGAACAGAGGCCTCTGTCCAGGTGAGTGTGGACCAGGACATCAGGGGGACGCGATGATTCTTTGTCTCCCTTCAGAACCAGGAAATCCACAACATCGTCACTGAACTGTCAAACTAGCTTATCTGTCAGCCAGCAATACTCAGGGGTTGCTCCTAGCTCTGCACTCAGAAATCACTCCCGGCAGTCCCTGGGGGATCCTACGGGGAGCCAGGGAGCAAACCTGGGTTGGCCACTGTACTCTCTCTCGAACCTCTTACCTTTCTTCTATGAACTGAGATCACTTTGACCTTTCCGTTTTTCTGCTTTTTGTTCCACACCCACCGGTGCTCTGGCTGGCCTCTGGCTCTGCGCCCAGGGGACCACATGTGGTGTTGGGGATCAGACCCGGGTCTGCAGTGTATAAAACGTGTGCCCTCCCGCTGTGCTACCTAACTGGCCCGGGTCTCTTTATTTCTTGGGTTTAGTTTTCTATTCTTCGGTCACTCCTGGCTGTGCTCTGGGACTAGCTAGGCCTATCGGTGCTCGGAGGACCAGGACCCTTGTCCAGACTCCAGTCCAGGGCCTCGGGCCTGCATCGTCTCTGAGTCACCCCTGTGCCACGTACGCAAACCCCCCCACCCAGCCCAGTTTCCTAAATGTCATATGGTAGGAGCTCTTTGTTCTTCAAAGTTTACTTGATTGTAGCTCACTGTTATTTTGGTTTTACTCCTTGCTGTGTGCTTAAGGATCACTTTTTTTTTCTTTTTTTTCAAGGCTCACTCTTGACAGGGTTCAGGGCCCCCTATGGGGTGGTGGGGATTGAATCCGGTTCACTGTGTGCAAGGCAAACGCCCTCCCTGCTGTCCTATTGCTCTGGCTTCCAGCTGGTATTTCTTTGTTTTTTCCTTCTTGGGTCACACCCGGCATTGCATGGGGGTTATTCTTGGCTCATGCACTCAGGAATTACTCCTGGCGGTGCTTGGGGGACCATATGGGATGCTGGGAATCGAACCCAGGTCGTCTGCGTGCAAGGCAAACGCCCTACCCTCTGTGCTATCGCTCCAGCCCCCCTGGTATTTCTTTGAATAGGATCTCTCTTCTCTTCTTTCTCATTTCTCTTTATAATCACATTTTAAATTTTATTTATTTTTTGGCTTGGGGGCCACACTGGGCTCACTCCCTGCTTCCCTGCTCTGCTTTTGGGGGTCCCTCCTGGCAGGATTCAGGGGACCCTGTGGAATGTTGGGGATCAAACCTGAATCAGTTGTGTGCAAGGCAGGGTTGTACTATTGCTCCAGCCCTTCTAGTTTATTTTATGATGGGTGCTTTTAGTTTAGGCTTTTTTTTTTTTTTTGGTATGTTTTGATTTTTGGGCCTCGCCTGGCTGTACTCAGGACTGACTCCTGGCTCTGCACTTAGGGCTCACTTCTGGTGGGGCTTTGGGTAACCTCTAGGGTGCCAGGCATCAAACCTGGGTTGCCACGTGCCAGCCGCATGCCCTCCCCACTGCACTATGTCCTCAGTCCTGCAGGTCGTGCTTACAGGGGATCTTTTTCTATTTTTTCTTTCTTTTTAAATTTTATTTATTTTATTGAAACACCATGAGATATAGTTATAAAGCTTTCATGATTGAGTTTCAATCATAAAATGGTCGAATACCCATCCTTCCACCAGTGTAAACTTTCCACCACCCGTGTCCCCAGTATCCAGGGGATCTTTTTCTGATTTAGAATTTGTTTGGGGGCCGGAGCAACAGTACAGCCTGTAGGACTTGTACATGGCTGACCCAGGTTTAATTCCCTGCATCCCCCAAGCACCTCCAGGAGTAATTCCTAAGTGCAGAGCCAGGAGTAACCCATCAGCATCCCTGGGTGTGACCCAAAAAGGAAAAAAAAAAGAATTTGGGGGGTACAAGAGGGTGATGGACTATTCTGGGCCCCTTGTAATAGTGCTCTTGGGCTGCTTCTGGCTTCCTGGGACATACAGAGAACTGTGTGCGCTCTCAGAAGTTTAACTTTGGGCTCCTGCATGCAAAGCCCTGTGCTCCAGCCATAAGCTCGTCAATTATTCCCTGACCCACGGTGTTTCTTGTTGTGGGTTTTTTCTTTTTGGGTCACTCCGGCAATGCTCAGGGGTTACTTCTGGCTCTGGACTCAGGAATCACTCCTGGAGTGGTACTCGGGGAACCATATGGTATGCCCAGATTCGAATCCAGGTTGGTTGTATGCAAGGCAAATGCCCTCCCCGTTGGACTATGGCTCCAGCCCACACCCACGGTGGTTTTTTTTTTTTTTTTGCTTTTTGGGTCACACCTGGCGATGCACAGGGGTTACTTCTGGCTTTGCACTCAGGAGTTACTCCTGGTGGTGCTCAGGGGACCATATGGGATGCTGGGAATCGAACTCAGGTCGGCCATATGCAAGGCAAACACCTTACCCGCTATGCTATCTCTCCAGCCCCCCACGGTGGTATTTTTTTGTTTTGTTTTGTTTTATTTTCATAAAAGTAGTTCACAATAGGGTCTGGAGTGATAGCACAGCGGGTAGGGCGTTTGCCTTGCACGCGGCCAACCCGGGTTCGATTCCCAGCATCCCATATGGTCCCCTGAGCACCGCCAGGAGTAATTCCTGAGTGCAGAGCCAGGAGGAACCCCTGTGCATTGCCAGGTGTGACCCAAAAAGCAAAAAAAAAAAAAAGTAGTTCACAATAGTTCATTACAGATAATATTCAAACACCAATCCCACCACCAAGCACCTTCCCACCACAATAAGAGGTAAGTGTGTGAGGGGTAATTGTATTTTATTCTGGAACCATTTAAGCCCAAATGTAAGAGAATACAAGCAAGTATGTTAGAAACCAAACAAATGTGTGAGACTTTTGATAGGTAATCGAGGTAGAGCATAAGAGGTTGGAAATTCTGCGGCACTCTCTTCTGGGAGCTTTTGTTTATAGTCTCTGAGTTTGGCCATTGAGAAGATCACATGGCACTGGGGGTTGGTTTGTGGGTGTGACTGCCAAGCTACTGGAAAACTTGGGAGCTGGGAGGAGGAGAAGGAGGCCCAGTCTTGATCCGAACGGGCTTGGAGATCTCAGTCACAGGTTCCCGCCTAATTAGGTTTACTGGCCGTTCAGCTCTCTGCTCACCCACGGTGTTTTATCCTAGACCGAGATCCGGAACAGAAGCACACGGATGTGACCTTTCAGCAGTTGGAATTGGATGGTGTGACGAACCATAGGCTAGAAACGGTAAGGCCCCGAGGCATGTGTATGTGACTGCTGCTGACAGTCCCCCCTGAAAACCTCAGCAGAGTTTGATGGTGTTGGTAAGGCCACAGAAAGGGCAACTGCTGAGGAAAACAGTCCCTCGATCTTAAGGTGGACAAGGTCCTGGTCGGGTGGCCTGATGGTGGGCGACCACGTGTCAAGCCATGTGGCTGGGGCCATTTTCTTTATCTTGATTTAGTATGTTTACTTTTGTTTTGGGGCCACAGCCAGCAGTGCTAAGGGCTGACTCCCAGCTCTGTGCTCTGAGGTCACTCCTGACTGGGCCCTGGGGACCCTAGATGGTGTCGGGGATCGAACCCCAGTCGGCCACATGCAAGGCAAATCCCTCCCTGCTATACTATCATTCTGGCCCCTGGAAGCTATTTGTAATTCCACTTGAACCTTGGGCTTCAGAATTCTCTGTGAGAATGAGTTTCATACACACACTCACACACACACACACACACACACACACATTTTTTTATTAAAAAAAAAAATATATATATAGGTGAATATGCTGTCCGAGCCTGTGTGCTGCTTGCACCCATGTGGCTGAGCACACGTGTCACCTGCATCTCCCCCCCTTGAGATGTGGACTTTCATGCTTTCGTGTCTAATGCTGGGATGTGTGTAGGGGCTCTCTCCGCCCTTGGAGAAGCCTGTGTTCTCTCTTGAGTATGTTACTCTCTCCCTCTCTCTCCCTCCATACCTAAAAATCCTCCAAATAAAATCTATTTACTTAAAAAATATATATATATACTTATATAAATATATATATATATATATATATATATATATATATATATGCCCTTCTCTCCTGTACATTGAATGGAAGGTCAGATACTCGACAGAGTTCCGGGGTTTTTGCAAAGTCTCATCATCGACTTGCAGGAACTCTTCAGGGCTGGACTGGAGTGACGGTGCAGCTGCTAAGGACTTGCTATGCAAAAGTTCAATGCCCAGCATCCCCAAGTGTCCCCTGAGCCCTGCCAGGAGGGATCCCTGAGTGCACAGCCAGGAGTCATCCCTGAGTACTGCAGGGCCTGGCCCCCAAGACAAAAAAAAAAAAAAGGAATTCCAGGGATGGAGCGATAGTGCAGCAGATAGAGTGTCTCCTTTGTGTGTAGCTGACCCAGGTTCGATCCCATGCGCCCCCCCTCCACACACCCCCAGCACCTCCAGGAGTGATTCCTGAGCTCAGAGCTAGGAATCCCTGAGTATCACTGGCTGTGCCCCCCCAATCAAACAAAAAACTCAAAAGAAGGGGCCGGAGCAATAGGGCAGCAGGTATGGCGTTTGCCTTGCATGTGGTCGACCTGGGTTCCATGCGACCCCACCCAGAGCATACAGGGTGTAGCCCAAAAAGGTAAAAAAAAGAAAAAAAAAAGCTCTCTCTGCTCTTGGAGAAGCCAGCGTTCTCTCTTGAACGCATTTCTCTCTCTCTCTCACGCCCAGTTCTCTTCCCTTCCACACCACACCTTCAAAAAGCCCTCCAAACAAAATCTGTTTTTTTTTTTTTTGCTTTTTTTGGGTCACACCCAGCAATGCTCACGAGTTACTCCTGGCTCACGCACTCAGGAATTACTCTTGGTCGGTGCTTGGGGGACCATATGGGATGCCGGGGATCGAACCTGGGTCGGCCGCGTGCAAGGCAAACGCCCTACCCGCTGTACTATCACTCCGGTCCCAACAAAATCTGTTTTACTTCAAAAAGAAAAACCTAAGTTTCAGGAGCGATAGTATACAGCGGGGTTAGGCATTTCCCTGGTGGGTGGCCCACCCTGGTTCAATCCCCGCATCCCATAGGGTTTCCCGACCCCTGCCAGGAGTAATTCCTGCGTGCAGAGCCAGGAGTGACCCCCTGATCCTCTCCCAGGGCAGGGATCCTCCGAGTGAAGTGGCGGGGAGCACGCTGGGACCCTGGGCTACTACTGGCCGTGAGGGTGAGCCTCCCCCTGCCTTGAGCAGCGTCTGCACGCCTCTCTGTTCTTCCCCAGGGAAGTCGCCGCCCGGGGTGCGAGGCCCAGCCGCCTGAAAAAGACGCGAGGGACCGTGGTGCGTCCCTTCCCCTCCTTGGCAAGCCTCCCGCCGGAGGGATCCCGCGGGATCAGCGGCTGCAAGATGCGGGCTCCTCGCGGCTGTCGCCCGGCTGCCCGGAGGCGGCGGCGGTGGCTGCTGCGGGGCGGACCCCAGCACCGCCGCCGGCGCCTCCCTCCCTGCCCCCGTTCCCCTGCGACAGCTGCGGCAAGTGGTTCTGGAACCCGACCTCCCTGCACGCGCACCGGCAGCTGCACGCGGCCCTCAAGCCCCACGAGTGCCCGGAGTGCGGCCGGGCCTTCAAGACGGCGCGGCAGCTGCGGGTGCACGCCAAGACGCACACGGGCGAGAAGCCCTACACGTGCCAGGCGTGCGGCAAGGCCTTCACGCAGTCGTCCAGCCTGCGGCAGCACCTGCGCATCCACACGGGCGAGAAGCCCTACGCCTGCAAGGAGTGCGGCAAGGCCTTCACGCAGTCGTCCAGCCTGCGGCAGCACATGCGCATCCACACGGGCGAGAAGCCCTACGCGTGCCCCGAGTGCGGCAAGGCCTTCACGCAGTCCTCGGACCTCACCATCCACCGGCGCACGCACACGGGCGAGAAGCCCTACGTGTGCGACGAGTGCGGCAAGGCGTTCGCGCAGTCGTCCAACCGCAGCCTGCACATGCGGATGCACGCGCGGGAGAAGCTGTGCGCCTGCAAGGAGCTGGCGGCCGTCGGGGGGCCGCCGCATCCGCCGCCGCCCCCGCCGCCCCCGCCCCCCGAAGACCTCCCGCACCCGCTGAGCCCCCCGGCCGAGAAGCCCTACCCGTGCGGCCAGTGCGAGCGCGCCTTCGCCTCGGCCTCCGGGCTCACCAAGCACCTGCGCACGCACACGGGCGAGAAGCCGTTCCGCTGCGACGTGTGCGCCAAGGCCTTCAGCAGCCCGTCCTACGTGACCATCCACAAGCGCTCGCACACGGGCGAGAAGCCCTTCGCCTGCCAGGTGTGCGGCAAGGCCTTCGCCGCCGCGCCCCTGCTCACCATCCACCTGCGCTCGCACACGGGCGAGAAGCCGTTCCGCTGCAACATCTGCGGCAAGACCTACCGCAACTCGTCCTACGTGACCATCCACAAGCGCTTCCACACGGGCGAGAAGCCCTACGCGTGCAAGGAGTGCGGCAAGGCCTTCACGCAGTCCTCGGACCTCAGCAGCCACGCCAAGATCCACACGGGCGAGAAGCCCTACTCCTGCCCCGAGTGCGGCAAGGCCTTCACCAAGCGCTCGGGCCTCACCGAGCACCTGAAGATCCACACGGGCGAGAAGCCCTACCAGTGCGAGCAGTGCCGCAAGGCCTTCCCGTCCGCCTCGCGCCTCAAGAAGCACGCGCGCTCCCACGGCGGGGAGAAGCCCTACGCCTGCAAGGAGTGCGGCAAGGTCTTCACGCAGTGCGTCGAGCTGGCCGAGTACGTGGCCATCTGCCCCGTGTAAAGAGGGACGCGGCGGGCTGGGGCCAGGGCACGGCGGGGAGGGCGTTTGCCTGGCACGCGGCCCACCCGGGTTCGAATCCCAGCATCCCACGGGGTCCCCCGAGCACCGCCGGGGGTAGTTCCTGAGCGCAGAGCCAGGAGTGAGCCCTGTGCATCGCCGGTGTGACCCAAAAGGCCAAAAAAAAAAGAAAAAAGACGCGGGCGCGACTGGCCTTTTACTGCCCGTCTTTCATAATCACGGTGGGTCCTGCCTGGGGTGGGGAACCCCCGCCCCCCGGTTCCCCGCTCCAGCCCGCCGAGCGATTTTGCCTTTATTTAAAAACAGAAAAGGAAAAAAACAACCTCAGAGGCACCGCAGAAAGCGTTTCAGGGGTTAGTTCAGGCGCTTACTCGGCCCGGGCCGACCCGGGTTTGAATCCCCAGCAACAAAAAGGGGCCCTCAGGAGCTGCCAGGGGTCACTCCTCTGTTTGGGTGACAGGGAGTGAAACCAGGTGGACGGCTGGAGAGACAGGAGTGCAGGTCAGGTGCTTGCCCTGCACGTGGCCCACCCCGGTTGCGTCCCTGGCCCCTGCCAGGAGAGATCCCTGAGCTCATGGCCTCAGCACTATGGAGGGGGCCAGGAACAGCAAGTGTGGTAGGATAAATACAACAGTATTAATTGGCAGGGAAAGGTTCTAGGTAACCTTTTAAAAAGAAAACAGGTAGCGGCCAGAGCGATAGCAAGGCGGGAAGGGTGCTTGCCTTGCAGCCGGCAGACCCAGGTTCAATACCCAGCACTACATAAGGTCCCCTGAGCACCATCAGGAGTGATCCTTGAGCCAGACCTAGGAGGTAAGCCCTGAGCCCCACTGGGTATGGCAAAAAAATAAAAATAAAAAACAAGTACTCATGATCAAGGGCAACCCTAGCGGAGAGAACTTTCTGGACAAATCAAGTGAGTTCTTGACCAGAGCAAATTGTGAACAGAGGGAACCCCCATGCTAAGTTCTCATCCCTGTAATAAACTGTTTGCTGTATGATCCTGAAGTCATGGTCTCTTACTGACCCTCACAGAAGATCACTTGAGCATCTCACGGGGGTTAGAATCTGACTCCGCAGTCAGCTTCTGACTGGCACGTTGCAAACCTGGATCCCTGCCTTGGTACCAGACAAATCAATAAAATGCCAGGAAAGCCCAAGGGCTTGGGTGCATGTTTCGCTTGTGGGAATTCCAAATCTTATAGATCCCTGGAACCAGATGGTCCACCAACATCACCAGGACTGGACCCTCAAGCTGCTGGGTAGGGATGATTAAAAAAAGTAAATGGAGGGGCCGGAGCAATAAGACAGCGGGCAGGGCTTTTGCCTTGCATGCAGTAGGCCCGGGTTTGATCCCCAGCATCCCATAGCTCCCTCCCTGCCCCCCAGGACACCAGGAATAATTTCCTGAATGCAGAGTCAGGACTAACCCCTCACTTCTGGGTGTGACCCCAAAACAAGCCCCCCCCCCCAAAACAAGCCGGAAGTTATAGCTGTGATCCTGGGTTTCTCAACAACCGGAAGGAGGTTGTGGGTCTCAAGGCAGTGGCCGCATCCAGACCTCACCAGCAGGATCCAGCAGGCGTTTTCCTGGTCTCTGGACTTGGATTCGGATGTTAACCCAGTTTCACAAGAGAGCCCCCAACTTCCTACATCACACCTGCCCCATCACACCATTATCATCCAACCTGGAGCATCTTAGAAAATTCCCCCAAAGGCAAAACCCCACCAGCCTCTTAAACCTCCAGGACAAGCTCCTTGACCTGGAATAATAAGCCAGCACAGGGGTCCCCATTTTGCCCCTCATCCTGTATTCAGTCTGGGGCATCGCCTTCCTGGGGGGTAGCATAAGGACCCCTGCCAGCTAAGACCAGGAGCTGGCTGACGTAGAGTGCCCTGGGCCCATTTGTTTCTGCACATCGCCCAGAAGGACAAGAGCAGGGCCCAGTGTGGTGAACAAGGTAGCTATGATCACACCAATGGGCTGGAGCGATAGTACAGTGGGTAGGGCGTTTGCCTTGTACGCGGCCAACTCGGTTGGCCCAGGTTCGATTCCTCCACCCCTCTCGGAGAGCCCGGCAAGCCACTGAGAGTATCTAGCCCGCACAGCAAAGCCTGGCAAGCTCCCTGTGACGTATTTGATATGCCAAACACAGTAACAAGTCTCACAATGGAGATGTTACTGGGCCCGCTTGAGCAAATCGATGAACAACGGGAGGACAGTGCTACAGTGCTACAGATCACACCAATACCCGCACAGCCCATGTGGGAGACAGGAACCCCCAACTCCTGCCTCCTTAGGAGAGTCAGCCCAACTGTGCTGTGTGGCCACCCTGGGGCGCAGCTGCAAACCTCTCCCCCTGCACCCCACCAGCCCCTTCTCAAGATTGGCTCCTTTGGGGAGAGAGTTCTGTGCCCTTGTAAGTTTCTCAAGTTTGGGTGACAAATAACAGGGGTGTACAACATATAGCACAGGCCCAGCAAGAACCCCGGCACAGCACGGTCACGGTCCCCCCCAGCACTATAGGGTGTGGCTAGATTCTCAGCACCCCGGATGCAAGGTCAATGAGCACTGTCCGCAAGCCCCCATGCTCTAAGCAAAGCCAGTGGGGCTCCCAAGACATCAGGACAGAAACAGTCCTACAATGAGCCCCTTGCAGCAGGCTCTGGAACCACACTTAGCACATAGCTCACCACCACACCTAGGGATCAATCGAAGGTTAAGAGATGCAGGGTGAGTCCCTGCCACTGGACAGGCAGGCTCTGAAAAAAAAACAAAAAAAAACATTGCTTCTGAATGTCACAAGGGGGCTTTTGGAGACCTTCATGTTCAGTAAAATCTTTCAAGGTCTTGCTCCCTGTCCTTGAAGGCTGAGGGTTCCCTGATTGGTGTGTTTCAGGCTGAAAGTCCTGGGAACCTGGTGGGTCACTTTCACTTTCTGCCTTAAAGGGCCAGACTAGAACAGATTTACCCTGGAGGGCACAGACAGATTTCTCTATTGGTTAGAACAATTGGGTATAGCTACAATGGGCAGGGTCCTAAACTAATTTTTTTTTTTTTTTTTTTTTTTTTTTTTTGCTTTTCGGGTCACACCCGGCGATGCTCAGGGGTTACTCCTGGCTCTACACTCAGGAATTACTCCTGGCTGTGCTCGGGGGACCATATGGGATGCTGGGAATTGAACCTGTGTTGGCCATGTTGGCTGCGTGCAAGGCAAACGCCCTACCTGCTGTGGTATCGCTCCAGCCCCTTAACTAATTTCTTAACCAAAGTTAATCGATAATTGTAGTGTTTAGTTTGGAAAGCAACATCAATAAGAAAAGAAGTGGAAACTGAGGGCCAGATAGCAAAGCAGGTAGGTAGGATAGGATGCTTGCCTTGCATGTGACCAAGCAGGGTTCGATCCCCAGCACCCGGCATCCCATAGGATCCTCCAAGCACCACCAGGAGAAATTCCTGAGTGCAGAGCCAGGAGTAGCCCCTGAGCATCGCCGGGTGCGACCCTAAAAGCCAAAATAATAACACCCTATATTGGGGTCACACTCAGTGTATCACACCTGGTGGTGCTTGAGGGACCCTACCTAGTTCAAGGGAACAGATCTGAGTCAACTGTGCAAAGCCAGCGTTTGACCCCGCTATCTCACCTCTCAGGCTTTGGGGGTTCGCCTCTTTTTTTTTTTTGCTTTATGGGTCACACCCGGCGATGCTCAGGGGTTACTCCTGGCTCATGCACTCAGGAATTGCTCCTGGCGGTGCTCAGGTGACCATATGAGGTGCTGGGAATCGAACCTGTGTCCGTCATGTTGGCTGCCTGCAAGGCAAACGCCCTACCCGCTGTGCTATTGCTCCAGCCCCTCGCCTCTCTTTTTTTTTCTTATTTGGGTCAGGGGTTATTCCTGGCTTGGCATTCAGGAATTAATTACTCCAGGTGGAGCTCAGGGGACCATATGGCATTCCGGGGGTCCAACTCAATCAAACGCAAGGCAAGTCCCCTCCCCGTTGTACTATGGCTCAGTCCCCCGGATTCGCTTTTTGAAGGAACCGCTGCACAGAGAGAGCTTTGGAGATCCGGCACTGCGGCCTGGCCCTTTAAGACACAGGTGGAAATGGAAGTGACTGGGCCTTTTGGTCTGAGGTTGGGGGAGCAAGTTCTGAGCCTGCAGATAGAGGTAGTCCAGGTGCATGGGGGTGTCACGAGTGATGATTTTTGTCTCAGGACCAAGAAGGCCCCCGCATAAATCCCTGAACCTCCCCAATCTCTATTTTGAAACGTTGGGGTGCTGCTGGAAGTGGACCTTGATGAGAAAACTCCTTTCTCTGCCTGCTGCTCCTGGGGTGCAAATGTTTCCAGAATGACCCGTGCGTGGCCTTTTCCCAGAGGAAAAAGAATGTCAGCTCTGAATCAGGTGGGTGAGTCTCCATCCTTACTGCCAGTCTATCTCTCTGACCCCCAATCTCAGGATGTTGGGTTGTGTCCCGGGAAGACCAGCAGCAGGCTAAAATTGGTTTCATTTTGTTTTTCGTGGCTTTTAGGGTCGCACTTGGCGATGCTTAGGGGTTTCTCCTGGCTCTGGACTCAGGAATCGCTCCTGGCAGTGTTCGGGGACTATATGGGATGCCAAGAGATGGAACCCCGGTCGGCCTCTACAGACCCCAAATTAGTTCACTTTAGGGCTGGCCTGTGTGCATTGGTTGTTAGTAGTCTCTCAGGATTGTTATTGTGGTGGTGGATTTCGGTGCATGCTTGGGGGTGCTCATGGTCATGTGCCCACCATGACGTACACCCATAAAAAGGGGATCCAAAAGGCTGTTTTCAGGTCTGCACGTGGACTGACAACTCTCTTTTGCTGGAGTCTCATCCCACATCCGTGTCTTCTGCCGAACCTCCTAGGCCTGATTCCGCCCAACCCCCCACCCCGCAGTGACTCCCAAATGGGAAATTGCAGGAGAAATACAGTGGGTTTGGACACAGGGTCACAAT